AAATAAATTTGTTAGTCTCTAACGTGCCACAAGTACTCCTTTTCTTTTTGCAAATACAGATTAACAAGGCTGCTACTCTGAAATCTGCAGGCAAAGGAGTGAAGTGGCTTTTATTGGCAGTTAAAACCAAAAGAAAGCTGAGGCACTTGGCTGTTTGACATTAAAAGAGGAAAGTTCCTTACTGAATGTGTACTTGTGCATTATTCCTGTTAACCACACAAAGCAAGATTCAGCAAATGCTAACATTAAAAAAAAAGTCTTACCTGATGAGGGTTTGAAAGTTCTGGCTGCTGCCTCGTTGGGCTTCCACTGACAATACTTTGAGATTACAGCTAGAAGCCTCTTCCAGAACCCACAGAAGTCAATGCTAAGACTTTCATTGATTTCAGTTGACTTTGGACCAGGCCTTAGGAGAAGTGGGCATGGAAACGCAATGATGCAGTTGGATCTGGGGAAATAGCTGGATGGGAAGCTTTACTGAGAAAGGGAAGAACTATAAAGAAGGTGGAGCAAAGAGCAGGCAGCAGTAGCCAGATATTTTGTTGGTTGATTCTGCTGAAAAATGGACAAAGTCACAATTTCCATAGGACCAGCTGGGATACCTGGGTTGCCCTACAAAGCTGGAATGATACCAGGGTGCTGGAACATCTGGTCACCCTAGTAGTTAGACACATGCAGTGTCACTAAAGATATATGACAGTGATCTTTGTGAGAATGTTACATTTTCCTGGTTGTGTGATTCAGTGAAAAACTTCTCTTATCTATGTCCCTCTTTAAAAAAATACTACCATAATCTATGGCAATGACCCAAAACAAAGGTATGACCTAATACTTATACTGTAGAATTCACTATGGATTCCTCCACTGCTCATTAGGCAGTATTCCTTGCTACACTTAAACAGTTAAAGCAACTTATGTGTTTTTTTCTCCCTAGCGGTAAAGGTAAAGCTGTCCAAAAAGAGAACAGTTTCTGGTGATCAGGAGTATAATATTGAATGCCAGGTGGAATTCATCAACCAGGGTTTGCTCTTGCCTTATGATACTCGGAACATGATACAACAGTGGTTGCTTATGAATGAAAATTGTACTCAGAGGATGACCCAGACCTACCGCCCCATGGTGTATCTCATTGTGGGGAATATTGAGGAAGGTACCGTTTTAGTAAACCAAATTTACCGCTGGCAGAGGAGGGACTCCCAGCTAACTTTGGCCACACGGAAGTGGAAACACCATAAATGTTTATAAATATTTATCTTATGATCCCTGATACATGTAAAAGGTGACTACTCTCCTCATACCAATGCAGTCTTGTAAATAGAAATGTATTATAAATGCAATGTAAAGTCTTAATGTAATTTTTTAAAAATATGTTATAACAGGTTGAATTCAACTTGGGTGTAAGTGGACATAATTTCTGTGTGGTAAATGGTGTTCCAGCCACTTTGGCCCAGCATGTATAAATGTGTATCCTCAGATTATTGTGAAAAATCTTGCATAATATGTATAACACTGTCATAAAACACTTTCTTGTGCAAATCATAACAATGAATGCTTCTAATGCTGTTTGAGGTGCTCAGCACCTCTGAAAATCTGTCTGTCTACAATTTCTTAAGTTTTCTGTATTGCCCATCACTGTAATATCTCAGTATTGACTTTCACATGCCCTAACTGTGGTTTTAGGTGCCTAATTTTAGGCACCTGCTTTGATAAAATTTGGCCTACATCTACACTAATCTACTTAATTTCTTACATTGATGGAGTGTTTTAAAAGAAGGTGGCCCTCTACTGGACATTTCTATATGGACAAAATGGTTTCCTTTTCTGTCAAACAAACATCAGTTTGAGTGCCTCAGAAGGACATGGTTGGGGTGGCTAGTTTTATTTTATAATGGGTAGCACTTACAATAACATAGTATTAATATTTTAAAGCATAAGACAAGTACAGGTTTTGAAAAAGTACTTTCTTGATCGTGTGTGATCATTTTGAAAAAGTGTACACTCCTACTGGAATCTGAATCAGAACTCTACTGAATGTATCTAATCTGTTTTCATTTTATTAACTCAAATAAAACATTAGTTACTTTAAAAAAATCAACCCAGGTGCTTTACAAGCTGTCTCTGGGAATTACATGGGACTAAGACAACTGCAAAAGACACTGATAATATTCAAGAAATGTAAAACATTATACTGCCCAAATTATTGTAATTAGCATCTTCAGTTGTAGTATGCCTGTGCTGATCTTAAAACACAGTGGTGATGGATTGGGCTCAATTTAATTTCAAACACATAAGAACTAATTTCATAAAGATGTATAATCAGCACAAAAACATGTAATAGCTACTGCATAAATTATCAGCTACACCAGTAATATGCTACCTGTTGTATCTGTATATTTAAAAAGTTTAAAAAAGCATCTGGATTTTTAAAGCAAGGTCCTAAGGTCCCAACTACACCAACTAGAACATGATTCTCTACCATGCTCCAGGGCATCCTTATTAAAACTAAGCACATAGCTTTTAGTGATTCATTAATCACCCTCTTGTTCACTTACATACAAAAATTTAAAAATCTAGCTTACACTTAGCTAATATATACAACCTTGTGTTCCTAACACTGTTAGCCCTGGCTTCTTGGCTTCTCTCCTCCCACCATTATATCCTATTCTCACCTGTCACATCTTGTCCTTAGTTAGACCCCAATCCTTTAATAAACTCTTTGATTGAGTCTACCCTTGCAGAGCTTATTGCGAACTGTAAGCTCTCGGGGGCAGGGACTGTCTTCTGTTCCATGTTGCTCAGTTCCCAGCACCATGGAGTCCCACTCTTTGCCTAAGGCCAATAGTAACAACATGGCTTCTTCTTACCAATGAGGACAAGAAAATATGGGACTGAATCAGATATTCCCTGATAACCAGAAACTACTATGCCTAAACTCTGTACCGTTTTCTTTTTATTTCAATATTTTAGAGCTGTTTTCCCATCCATACAGGTAATAAAAAACTGTATTTAAATGGTTATAACAGTGTCCCCTATTCATAGCAGAGAGTTGTGTACAAGCATATTTATTCAAGTAGTGCAGATAGGCCCCAATATGAATCTTTTCTAATAATTAAAATCCATATGGCATAGGGGTTTCTGTATATATATTGTGGAACTCTTGTTATGAATTGAGTAGTGTTGTTACTGGAACAAATCCTCTTCATTAGATTGGTGGCCACAATTCCCATTGACATTAATTAAATGTAAATCATTTTCCAGAGGAAGTTGTGAAGGCCAAGACTATAACAGGGGTCAAAAAAGAAAAAGATAAATTCATGGAGGGTAGGTCCATCAGTGGCTATTAGCCAGGATGGGCAGGGATGGTATCCCTAACCTCTTTTTGCTAGAAGCTGGGAATGGGCAACAGGGAATGGATCACTTGTTCTGTTCATTCCCCCTGGGGCACCTGGCATTGGCCACCGTTGGAAGACAGGATACTTGGCTAGATGGACCTTTGTTCTGACCCAGTATGGCCGTTCTTATGTTCTTATATACATGCATTTGAACCAGAGCCAGCCCGTAGTTTGCTGTTATGGACTGGAAAACTAATACAGATTGAGAAATATCCAGAAGCTGAAACAACCTATTTTAAAGCTGTGTTGTATAATGAAGCAACTGCTTAAAAAAGCATGTAGTTGAAAAGCTCAGGTCATTCTGTCCTGTGGCTTGTGTGTCAATCTCTGGTGGTAAAATGGTAAATATTTAAAGAATTCTGTCAGTGCTTATACAAGTACCAACTCTCCCATAAAGGTCACATTAAAAGGCTCTCTTCATGGTAACATTCGCACCCAGCAGTGGGTGACCCATTCTAGAAGCACAATACCTGTCAGAATGGTCAGCAACATCACTAACCTGGTTTTGATCATACTAAAAGGTACACTTTGAGTATGATCCACAGGGAATTAGATTCATGGTTCTTTATAAAAATAAATTTCCACTGAATGCTTCCGATGAAGTGAGCTGTAGCTCATGAAAGCTTATGCTCAAATAAATTGGTTAGTCTCTAAGGTGCCACAAGTACTCCTTTTCTTTTTGCGAATACAGACTAACACGGCTGCTATTCTGAAACCTATAAAAATAAAAGGAATTATTTCCTTAGTTTAGTTTTATTTACCTTTATATTGGGGAATTTAGTCAGGATTTAGGTTGAAGGGTTTTGTTGGATTATGGCAAAAGTTTAATAAAATACTCCTGTTTTAAACTGTCCCTGACTGGGAGTGTAACAAAGACTGGCCTGGAAAACACATTCAAAACAATCCCTAACAAAGGGGCTGATGCCAATTTGCACTAACAATATGTCTACACTACAAGTGCTACAGCGGAATAGCTGCAGTGTGGCAACTGTGCCACTGTAGTGCTATAGTGCAAACACTTGCTACAGCGATGGAAGGGATTTTACCTTGAGAGGTGGTAGCGAGGGCCAAGCGAGAATTCTCCTATTGATTTACCAGTGTCTATACTGGGTTTTAGGTCAGCGGACAGTCTCTGAGGATGTGAATTTTTCCCACCCCTGAGCGACGTAGCTAGGTTTCAGGTGCAGAGCAGGACTAAGTCTACTTTACACAGTGTAAGGGGGCCTCAGAATGGATATAACTTACACATGTACCCACCATAAGACCTCTTTACACACGAGAGAGGTGTAATGTGGCCTTCGTGTAATGAGAACCAGGCCCTTCAAGTTTCCTCAGTGAGGTTCACACACACACACATAGTGCCCAGCCACCCTTGTCCCTTACACACAGTGTCCTCCCACCCCAACCCACTCACACTGCCCTGTCCGTCACACGCAGAGTTCCCTGCCTCCAGAGCCCAGCCACGCGAACCCCGCGCACACACCGTGCTCTGCACCCCTAGTCCTAGTTTTCTCTCTCTCTCTCTCTCTCTCTCTCACTCTCACTCTCACACACACACACACACGTGCGTGCCCGACCATTTGACTCCTCCCTCAGAGATCGGTCACGTGAGCCACTTAAATGGGAAGGACGGAGGAGGGAGGTGCAGCAGGTTGGGGGTTTCGCTCCGGGTTCACGGGCTGGCAAAGGAAACAGGAAGCGAAGACAAAGGGGCCGCGCCGTAGCAGCGGCGCAAAGACAACCCAGGTAGGGCCCCCGCTCAGAGCAAAGATACAGTCACCTTCCCGCTTCTCCTTTGCACCCGCCCCTCTCCTCCCCCGAGGGGCGGTAGCCTGAAGCCCTTTATCGCCCCCGCACAGCCCAGGGAGGGAATGAGAAGTGCATGGCCTCCCCCTCCCGCAGTTTGCACCGTCTTTTATTCCCCTACCCCCGCCTTTATTCCGCCCCCGGGGTGGTTGGCTGCCTGCAGGACTGATGCATTCTCATACCCTCTCCCCCAACTTCTTTTTTATGTGTTTGCACTGCTGAGCCAAGGGGTCTCACGGCCCTTTGCGGGGCGCCACTGAGCTCGGGACGCTAGTGAAGTGTCAGCGTTCTCACACCGTAACCCAAGTGTTCAGACAACTCGCTCTTGGGATTATTTTTACTGCTGAGGGTGGGCTGACTGGATGATCTGATTTTGCGATTGGTCCTGCTGCAAACACGCGAGCTATTTAAATAATAGGGAAACGGCTTTGTAGTTTAGAAGTTATAAAATAAACTGATATGAGACTGAACTGGAAAGCTGAGCTGATCTGGGCAGTTCCAGGTTACATATTAACATCCCACTGGCTGATCTCTGGTCCTTGCCTTTGATGACACCAGTTTATTGTTTTGCATTTGAATTTGCTTTTGTCACTTTATATCCGTTTTTAAAATGAATTTCTTTTTATATCCATAAGACCCATCCTTCTAAAAGTAAACCTGATAAAGGTTAATGTGATCAATTTATTATAACTGTAATGACTATGGTATAAATAATAACACTTTGGTTTCACCAGTCTGAGGATTACCCAATACTTCACAAACAAATACATTCAGACCAGCCCTGACAGATAGGTATGTAGCACAATGTTACAGTTTGGATAACAGAGAAAGTCTAGTGCTCTAATGGCCAACAATGTTGGCTTGCTGCATATTCGGACAATTGCAGGGCCTGAAGTGAGCTGTAGCTCATGAAAGCTTATGCTCAAATAAATTGGTTAGTCTCTAAGGGTATGTCTACACTACGGAATAAGGTCGAATTTATAGAAGTCGGTTTTTTAGAAATCGGTTTTATAAATTCGAGTGTGTGTGTCCCCACAGTAAATGCTCTAAGTGCATTAAGTGCATTAACTCGGCGGAGCGCTTCCACAGTACCGAGGCAAGCGTCGACTTCCGGAGCGTTGCACTGTGGGTAGCTATCCCACAGTTCCCGCAGTCTCCGCTGCCCATTGGAATTCTGGGTTGAGATCCCAATGCCTGATGGGGCTAAAACATTGTCGCGGGTGGTTCTGGGTACATATCGTCAGCCTCCCGTTCCCTCCCTCCCCCCGTGAAAGCAAGGGCAGACAATCATTTCGCGCCTTTTTTTCCTGAGTTACCTGTGCAGACGCCATACCATGGCAAGCATGGAGCCCGCTCAGGTAACCGTCACCCTATGTCTCCTGGGTGCTGGCAGACGCGGTACGGCATTGCTACACAGTAGCAGCAACCCCTTGCCTTGTGGCAGCAGACGGTACAGTACGACTGGTAGCCGTCATCGTCATGTCTGAGGTGCTCCTGGTCGCCTCTGTGAGGTCGATCAGGAGCGCCTGGGCAGACATGGGCACAGGGACTAAATTTGGAGTGACTTGACCAGGTCATTCTCTTTAGTCCTGCAGTCAGTCCTATTGAACCGTCTTATGGTGAGCGGGCAGGCGATACGGACTGCTAGCAGTCGTGCTGTACCATCTTCTGCCGAGCAGTCATGAGATGTGGATGGCATGCAGTCCGTCTGCTGCCAGCCAAAGATGTAAAAGATAGATGGAGTGGGTCAAAACAAGAAATAGACCAGATTTGTTTTGTACTCATTTGCTTCCCCCCCCTCCCCTGTCTAGGGGACTCATTCTTCTAGATCACACTGCAGTCAAGATGCAGCGAGGTAAATCTAGCCATGTATCAATCAGAGGCCAGGCTAACCTTCTTGCTCCAATAAGGACAATAACTTAGGTGCACCATTTCTTATTGGAACCCTCTGTGAAGTCCTGCCTGAAATACTCCTTGATGTAAAGCCACCCCCTTTGTTGATTTTAGCTCCCTGAAGCCAACCCTGTAAGCGCCCCTCCCAGCGTCAGAGCAATGGCAAACAATCGGGCATCTGAGAGTGCTGTCCAGAGCAGTCACAATGGAGCGCTCTGATGGGGCTAAAACATTGTCGCGGGTGGTTCTGGGTACGTGTCGTCAGGCCCCCGTTCCCTCCCTCCCTCCGTGAAAGCAAGGGCAGACAATCATTTCGCGCCTTTTTTCCTGAGTTACCTGTGCAGACGCCATACCACAGCAAGCATGGAGCCCGCTCAGGTAACCGTCACCCTATGTCTCCTGGGTGCTGGCAGACGCGGTACGGCTTTGCTGCACAGTAGCAGCAACCCCTTGCCTTCTGGCAGCAGACGGTGCAATACGATTGGTAGTCGTCCTCATCGTGTCCGAGGTGCTCCTGGCCGCGTCGGCTGGGAGCGCCTGGGCAGACATGGGCGCAGGGACTAAATTTGGAGTGACTTGACCAGGTCATTCTCTTTAGTCCTGCAGTCAGTCCTATTGAACCGTCTTATGGTGAGCAGGCAGGCGATACGGACTGCTAGCAGTCGTACTGTACCATCTTCTGCCAGGCAGGCAAGAGATGAGGATTGCTAGCAGTCGTATTGCACCATCTTCTGCCAGGCAGGCAAGAGATGGGGATGGCTAGCAGGCGTACTGTACCATCTTCTGCCAAGCAGCCATGAGATGTGGATGGCATGCAGTCCTTCTGCACCGTCTGCTGCCAGCCAAAGATGTAAAAGATAGATGGAGTGGGTCAAAACAAGAAATAGACCAGATTTGTTTTGTACTCATTTGCCTCCTCCCCTGTCTAGGGGACTCATTCCTCTAGGTCACACTGCAGTCACTCACAGAGAAGGTGCAGCGAGGTAAATCTAGCCATGTATCAATCAGAGGCCAGGCTAACCTCCTTGTTCCAATAACAACGATAACTTAGGTGCACCATTTCTTATTGGAACCCTCCGTGCAGTCCTGCCTGAAATACTCCTTGATGTACAGGCACCCCCTTTGTTGATTTTAGCTCCCTGAAGCCAACCCTGTAAGCCGTGTCGTCAGTCGCCCCTCCCTCCGTCAGAGCAACGGCAGACAATCGTTCCGCGCCTTTTTTCTGTGCGGACGCCATACCACGGCAAGCATGGAGCCCGCTCAGCTCACTTTGGCAATTAGGAGCACATTAACCACCACACGCATTATTCAGCAGTATATGCAGCACCAGAACATGGCAACGCGATACCGGGCGAGGAGGCGACGTCAGCGCGGTCCCGTGAGTGATCAGGACATGGACACAGATTTCTCTGAAAGCATGGGCCCTGACAATGCATGCATCATGGTGCTAATGGGGCAGGTTCATGCTGTGGAACGCCGATTCTGGGCTCGGGAAACAAGCACAGACTGGTGGGACCGCATAGTGTTGCAGGTCTGGGACGATTCCCAGTGGCTACGAAACTTTCGCATGCGTAAGGGCACTTTCATGGAACTTTGTGACTTGCTTTCCCCTGTCCTGAAGCGCATGAATACCAAGATGAGAGCAGCCCTCACAGTTGAGAAGCGAGTGGCGATAGCCCTGTGGAAGCTTGCAACGCCAGACAGCTACCGGTCAGTTGGGAATCAATTTGGAGTGGGCAAATCTACTGTGGGGGCTGCTGTGATGCAAGTAGCCCACGCAATCAAAGATCTGCTGATATCAAGGGTAGTGACCCTGGGAAATGTGCAGGTCATAGTGGATGGCTTTGCTGCAATGGGATTCCCTAACTGTGGTGGGGCTATAGATGGAACCCATATCCCTATCTTGGCACCGGAGCACCAAGCCGCCGAGTACATAAACCGCAAGGGGTACTTTTCAATAGTGCTGCAAGCTCTGGTGGATCACAAGGGACGTTTCACCAACATCAACGTGGGATGGCCGGGAAAGGTGCATGACGCTCGCATCTTCAGGAACTCTGGTCTGTTTCAAAAGCTGCAGGAAGGGACTTTATTCCCAGACCAGAAAATAACTGTTGGGGATGTTGAAATGCCTATATGTATCCTTGGGGACCCAGCCTACCCCTTAATGCCATGGCTCATGAAGCCGTACACAGGCAGCCTGGACAGTGGTCAGGAGCTGTTCAACTACAGGCTGAGCAAGTGCAGAATGGTGGTAGAATGTGCATTTGGACGTTTAAAGGCGCGCTGGCGCAGTTTACTCACTCGCTTAGACCTCAGCGAAACCAATATTCCCACTGTTATTACTGCTTGCTGTGTGCTCCACAATATCTGTGAGAGTAAGGGGGAGACGTTTATGGCGGGGTGGGAGGTTGAGGCAAATCGCCTGGCTGCTGGTTACGCGCAGCCAGACACCAGGGCGGTTAGAAGAGCACAGGAGGGCGCGGTACGCATCAGAGAAGCTTTGAAAAACAGTTTCATGACTGGCCAGGCTACGGTGTAAAAGTTCTGTTTGTTTCTCCTTGATGAACCCCCCCGCCCCTTGGTTCACTCTACTTCCCTGTAAGCTAACCACCCTCCCCTCCTCCCTTTAATCATTGCTTGCAGAGCCAATAAAGTCATTGCTGCTTCACAGTCATGCATTCGTTATTCATTCATCACACAAATAGGGGGATGACTACCAAGGTATCCCAGGAGGGGGTGGTGGAGGAGGGAAGGAAAATGCCACACAGCACTTTAAGCACAGCACTTTAAAAGTTTACAACTTTAAAATTTATTGAATGACAGCCTTCTTTTTTTTTGGGCAATCCTCTGTGGGGGAGTGGCTGGTTGGCCGGAGGCCTCCCCACCGTGTTCTTGGGCGTCTGGGTGTGGAGGCTATGGAACTTGGGGAGGAGGGCGGTTGGTTACAGAGGGGCTGCAGTGGCAGTCTGTGCTCCAGCTGCCTTTGCTGCAGCTCAACCATACACTGGAGCATACTGGTTTGGTCCTGCAGCAGCCTCAGCATTGAATCCTGCCTCCTCTCATCACGCTGCCGCCACCTTTGAGCTTCAGCCCTGTCTTCAGCCCGCCACTTACTCTCTTCAGCCCGCCACTTACTCTCTTCAGCCCTCCACCTCTCCTCCCGGTCATTTTGTGCTTTCCTGCACTCTGACATTATTTGCCTCCACGCATTCGTCTGTGCTCTGTCAGTGTGGGAGGACAGCATGAGCTCGGAGAACATTTCATCGCGAGTGCGTTTTTTTTTCTTTCTAAGCTTCACTAGCCTCTGGGAAGGAGAAGATCCTGTGATCATTGAAACACATGCAGCTGGTGGAGAAAAAAAAAGGGACAGCGGTATTTAAAAAGACACATTTTATAAAACAGTGGCTACACTCTTTCAGGGTAAACCTTGAAAGTTAACATTACATACATAGCACATGTGCTTTCGTTACAAGGTCGCATTTTGCCTCCTCCCACCGCGTGAACGGATTTTGGTTGAATGCCAGCAAACATACACTGCAATGCTTTGTTCTACAGTGATTCCCCAGTACGTGTTGCTGGCCTGGAGTGGTAAAGTGTCCTACCATGAAGGACGAAATAAGGCTGCCCTCCCCAGAAACCTTTTGCAAAGGCAGAACCGCAAATGCCAGGGCAAAGTAATCCTTTCACATGCTTGCTTTTAAACCATGTATAGCATTTTAAAAGGTACACTCACCAGAGGTCCCTTCTCCGCCTGCTGAGTCCAGGAGGCAGCCTTGGGTGGGTTCAGGGGGTACTGGCTCCAGGTCTAGGGTGAGAAACAGTTCCTGGCTGTCGGGAAAACCGGTTTCTCCGCTTGCTTGCTGTGAGCTATCTACAACCTCCTCCTCATCATCTTCTTCGTCCCCAAAACCTACTTCTGTATTGCCTCCATCTCCATTGAAGGAGTCAAACAACACGGCTGGGGTAGTGGTGGCTGAACCCCCTAAAATGGCATGCAGCTCATCATAGAAGCGGCATGTTTGGGGCTCTGACCCAGAGCGGCCGTTCGCCTCTCTGGTTTTCTGGTAGGCTTGCCTCAGCTCCTTCAGTTTCACGCGGCACTGCTTCGGGTCCCTGTTATGGCCTCTGTCCTTCATGCCCTGGGAGATTTTCAGAAAGGTTTTGGCATTTCGAAAACTGGAACGGAGTTCTGATAGCACGGATTCCTCTCCCCAAACAGCGATCAGATCCCGTACCTCCCGTTCAGTCCATGCTGGAGCTCTTTTGCGATTCTGGGACTCCATCATGGTCACCTCTGCTGATGAGCTCTGCATGGTCACCTGCAGCTTGCCACGCTGGCCAAACAGGAAATGAGATTCAAAAGTTCGCGGTTCTTTTCCTGTCTACCTGGCCAGTGCATCTGAGTTGAGAGCGCTGTCCAGAGCGGTCAGAATGGAGCACTCTGGGATAGCTCCCGGAGGCCAATACCATCGAATTGTGTCCACAGTACCCCAAATTCGAGCCGGCAACGTCGATTTAAGCGCTAATCCACTTGTCAGGGGTGGAGTAAGGAAATCGATTTTAAGAGCCCTTTAAGTCGAAATAAAGGGCTTCATTGTGTGGACGGGTGCAGGTTTAAATCGATTTAACGCTGCTAAATTCGATCTAAAGTCCTAGTGTAGACCAGGGCTAAGGTGCCACTAGTACTCCTTTTCTTTGTGCTCCAGTTTCTGGATCACTGCCTCTGCTTTGTATTGTTGCCTCTGTAATGTGGGCATTCATCCCCAAAATAGATTACACAGGATAAGATGATGTATGAACAGTTCAATCCTTTTTTTGTAATTTTTGTTTTCTGCCTGAATATGCAGAAATGTATCTTGGGATGTCTGTTTTGTTTTGTTTTAGCAATGGCTTCAGGAACAGCTTTGATTTACGATGATGAAATGACAAGTTACAAACTACTTTGGGATAAGTAAGTCAGCTGCAGGTTTGCTGCATTTTCAATGAACAAACCGTTATTAGAGCGTTTCTAGAAATGTTGTGTACAAGAGTTGATGGGTGGCCCTGATTTCCATTTTGTGAGCTGCATTTTCTTGGGACCCAGAGAGTTTCTTTTATTTTTACGGCTTTTGATCAAAGTAGAATCCTGCTGTAAATCCCTTTTTTCTTTGCTGGCCTTGAGCATTATTTATCTCTGATACTCTTTTCATTTGAATACTCCTGCCTTCTTTATTTTAGGGCGTGCTCTCTCTCTCTCTCTCTCTCTCTCTATTTATTTATTTTATTTTGGCTTCGTTCTTTGTTGGTTGCACTCCTGATGTTTTTAAAGAGCCACATAAAATTTCTTCTTACTCATGCATTTTTATAACCAAAAAATGTTTGTTGTTCCCCCACCTCCCCAATTCCACAAACTGGAAAGTTTTCAAAGATCTTTTTTCTCTTATTCACCCCTACAAGAAAAATGAATCTTTTCACAATGAAATATTTGTGCCTAAGCATCCCTGAAGAGGATTTATAATAAGACTTGTTGATATTGTATTGTAACAAGATAATTTTTGTTTATTTGTAGCCCTGAGTGTGATATTGAAGTGCCGGAAAGATTGTTATCTTCCTATGAGCAACTTAAACGTTATCATCTTTTGGAAAGATGTGTCCATGTACCTGTCAGGGAAGGAACGGAAGAAGAGATCATGTTGGTTCACAGGTGTGATATCAAGTATAATGTTAATTTAATCACCTGGATCCTATTTGATCTTTACAAAAACTGTTCATATATTTTGCTGCTATGAAAGGTCCTGACCCAAAGCTCAGTGAAACCAATTGAAGGATTCCCCCTGATATCAGTGGGCAATGGATCAGGCCCAAAATGAAAGACTGGCTAGATCTAGGTGTAGTGGGGGCAGGTGCTGAACAAACTTCCCTGCACAAGTCTGTAATGCCCCTAAATCCTGTCTGACAATTTTCTTGGTTTTCCTATTCTGGGCTTCTTTTGAGCAGAGATTGCCAATTGTATCCAGCACTAACTGCATACAACTGAGGCTCTGTACTTGTAAAACTTTAAAAGTAATCTTTAAACAAAACTGGTCCAACTTTGCCAGAAAAAGTGAACACTGGAAAAATGGGGATTTGTATAAATCAAATAGGAAGAGATGTTGAGGGGAAATTATCTAAGATAAATTGAATCAAATAGAAAGGCATTGTATTTAATTCTGCAGAAGGCCCTGGGCCCAGAGGGACTGTGGCATACATACTCAGAGAGGGTGCCCCAGAGATGGGATTCCTGAAATCAGAAGGCTCTGGCTGTAGCCCTGGCCCAAACTTAATTGTGGCATGTTGTGTAGTGGTTTTTCAGTATGGGCAAGTGTTGATTGTACATTCGGATGAAACCACCAAGTTCAATTTTATTTGTGATCTGGATTGGTGCCCACGCATGTAGAAAATCAGGCCCAAAAGAGGTCCCAGGGTGACCCACTCTGCCACCTGCCTCCCTCAAAAGACATGTAAAGTTCTTACTCTTCCTAGAGGATACCGCGATGGATTGGGACTCAAGAGACCTGGGTTCTATTTCTAGCTCTGCCATTGGCCTGCTGAGTGTCCTTGAGCAAGTCAGTTCCCTTCCCTGTGCCTCACGGGGACAAGGATACTGACCTCCTTTATAAAGGTGCTGTATAAGAGCTAGTTAATAATTATTTATGTTGAAATGTTTTGTATGTGTTGTTCACACCTGGTGCCTATGGGTTTAAGTTAGCTCTCTTTTTTTTTCTTTTTTCTTTTTTTTTTTCTTTTTTTAAATACAGTGAATTTGGATCCTACTCCTTAGTTCTTGCGAACCTCTTCATTTGGAGCCACTCTTTTACATCTGTTCCTATTAGGCAGCTGCCATTACTGTGTCTATATTCTACCTGGAGTGAGACTGTGGCTTGTGTTGCATGACCCCACATGAGAGTAAGCAGGCAGGGTGTAAGATGCATCATATCCTAAGTCACAGAGTGGAGGACAGAACAGGTTCCACTGGGATGCCATTCCCATGCAGTTGGACCAGGAGGGGCAGGGACAGACAATGGTTAGAACATTGATTCTGCCCTTCCAATGCACTTCCAATGCCAGCACAATTGAGCCAGTGTGGAGATGCAAAAAATATAAACCTAATAAAGGGCTGATTCAAATTACTTCTTCCATGGAGCAAGAGGAGAATTTGGGACTGAACTGTGACTCTCAGAATCATAATATCATTCCCTCATCAACTCTTGAGGCACAGCATCTCTGCATTGCTGTTTACTCAGGGCAGATTACAAAGGGACAATCTCTCCTTTGGACAGTAAGGGTGTAGAGTACAGCGTGTAGAGTACAGATGTTGCATGCCCAGCTAGCACAGATGTAAACACAACTGGAAACAATGAGGTATGGCTTCGGTGAGTAGAGTGGAATGAAATGCCCAACACACCTGAATCCCAGGGTGCATGCCCTATACAGGCTCTCTACACCCAAGCAGTCTCCCCCACCTGCTACACTGCTATTGTTAGCAGTGTAGGATCCCACTGCCTCCTCACTGCCAGAGCCTTTCACCACTGCCTTCCCCTGCCAGAACCTTTCACTGTGACGTGTGGTTACACACCACAGTGACAAGTAGCCTGTCTTTTACTGCAGCATGTAGCTACATAAGTACACGCCACCATAAGTGTACACAGCCTAAATGAGTGGCCTCCTTGGGGGCTGATAGCAGTCTCCAAACTGAACAACACTGCAAACCACACTTGGTTCTGCTCAGACAGGTTGCTAGTAGAAATGATAGTTGTCACGCTCTCATATGACCTAACATCTCGGTTTTGATCCCCGGAACACCACCGGATATGGGGGGTTGACATTCTGAAGCTAGGTCTCACATGCTACCACCAACCTCTCATATTATCACGTAGTCTTTTGTTTTCTCTTTGCATTAGTAGAGATTTTTCAGGCCATATCTGAGCTCAGTTAACCTGCTTTCTCTTTTTTTTTTTTTTTTTTTTTATTAAAGTTCAGAATACTTGGAAGTTGTAAAGAGCACCCAGACAATGAATGAAGAAGAACTCCGAAGAGTCTCAGGAAATTATGATGCTGTTTACTTTCATCCGGTACGTGGGCATGGCCATTTATATAAGTGTTTGTACTGTTGCGTTAGAAGCCCATTTTTTATAGCTGGAATTAAAATAGCCAACTTTTTTTCTTTTGTTTAAATATACTTGTCGTTTTTTTCACAAGGTACTTACGTTTGTCAGTTAAAATTACTACACTGATACTTGTAACAGCTCCACAGCTTCTGCTCTCTAACCACACCACCCGATTGAAGTATAGTTCTGGATTTTAACTTAAACTAATAAAACTAAGGAGACTGATAGTTAAGGCCAACACTTTCCTCCCATAATTCTTCCCATTTGTGCCTGTGTATTGCTCATGCTTCAGAACAGTGCATGATATACACAAATATTTCTCGTAAAAGTCACACTTGAATTTCTATTGTCAAATTCTGCTCTCGGTTACATTCATGCAACTCCAACTTCACTAGGGAGGGAAAACTTCAAATAATTTGTTATAGTGATGCAAAACATGTCAGTTATATTTAGTTTAAACCAACTGGTGGGTGGCTGATGATGATAATGGGATTTTTTTTTTCTTAGAATACTTACCGCTGTGCTAAACTAGCAGTAGGAGCAACTTTGCAACTGGTGGATTCTGTGATGTCAGGAAAAGTGTGCAATGGAATGGCATTAGTAAGGTAATGAAGTACTTAGGAGTTCTGTTAAGGGGTACTGGCAGCAGGAATCAAACATGGGACCTCTTGAGCTAAATATATGAGCCTCTACTGCCTGAGCTAAAAGATAGGCCTCAGCCATGGCTGTAGCAGGGTCATCAATCTATAGCTGGCCTAGCCACCACTAGAGGGGGACAGAGTGCCACTCTAACCAGGAAGGGGTTACATTACTTTTCAGCCAAAGTTCATTCACAGTGAGTAACCATGTCAAGCTTTGTTTCAGGCCTCCAGGTCATCACAGCCAGCGAAATGCAGCCAATGGATTCTGTGTGTTTAATAATGTTGCCATTGCAGCTCAGTATGCCAAAAGAAGATACGGTCTCCAGAGGTTAGTGTATATTTGTCTCTGGGGTAGGTTTTCAAAGGCACAAATGTCAGTTAGGTGCCTAACTTCCACTGAAAGTCCATAGGCGTTCGGCACCAAATTGCTTTTGTGCCTTTAACAATCTTCTCCTCTGTCTGTTACTTACTATCCTCTTGACATGGTTTGCTGTGGTTCTTCTAGTGAATATTTCCTTTTGATTCATGCAGAATTCTCATTGTTGACTGGGATGTGCACCATGGACAAGGAATTCAATATGTATTTGAAGAGGATCCCAGGTTTGTAAATTTTTTTTTGCATGTCCAGTTGGTTTATTTTTGGTCTCCTCTCTGTAGAATAAAACCCTTCTTACTTTGAAAATGGAAATTCCTACAAAATGACTCTCATTCTTTTAGGTACTTCATTCTCTTTGAAACTGTATTTATTTATTCTCATTTGTCAAACAAAGCGAAACAAACCTTTAAACCTAATTAAAAGTAATTTGTAAGTCTACTCTAGAAAAATTGACACAATATGAGCCCCATGGCTGCCTTTGTTTGCTGATAAAAAGCTCTCTCCGCACCACTATCCAAATATTCAGTGAACAGTTGGTCTATGCTGTTTTCTGAAAGCTAAAAACTTTGAGCCCATCAGCAAAACCCCTCTTTCGAAAATTCTTTTTCTCTGGCCCTAGAGGAGTCTATGCCAGAAACTTACAGCAAAAGTGCCCTAGCTGAATTTAACTGTTGTGCTAGACTATACGGAGCTTTTCAAGTAAGTGGGTGCCAGTTTGTTCAGAGATTAGTGGAGAGAAAGATGAGGAATATTTGCTACTTAAGGCCTATTTTCATGCTTTCTGTGAAATGAGCCAGAGAGGGTCAGATGTGAAAAGATCCTTCATAACTTTTGTTTCAGTTGGGTTTGTTTATTCTTTCTTTCAGTGTTCTCTATTACTCCTGGCATCGCTATGAACATCAGCAGTTCTGGCCCTTGCTCAGAGAATCTGATTATGATGCTGTTGGTCAGGGAAAAGGAAAAGGATTCAATTTAAATGTACCTTGGAATAAGGTAAATGTTGCTTGATAGCATAAAAGTGGAAATTCAGTAACTTTGTCATGCATTCAGGGCAATGTTGTCTTAGCAGTTTTAGAAGTAATACTTTTTATGAGAAATGCATTGACTTGATTACTTGGCAGAGGTCACGCGTTCTGGTGAATGGAATGTCTGCTGAGAAAATGACTTCCAGTGTGATGATTTAAACAATCTATCACCAATTCACACATTCCCCTTCCTTTATCTGTATGTTATTTAGTTAGGCCCCAGTACAGCACAGCATTTGAGCACATGATGAAATCCATCCCTCTTCAGCAAAGAACTTAAGCACGTGCTTAAGACCCATTGAAATTGGATGCTTACATACTTTGCTGAATAGGGATGGATGGCTGTACTGGGGCCTTAAAAGCTAAGGCTCCAGCTTTGTATTCTGTTCCTCCTGTTTAACCGTTGCTCCTGGCTTTCCCTAAAATCTTGAAGGAACTGAGACCTGGATCCACAGAGGGACTTAGGCATTGCAATGCTTAACTTTTATGCACCTTGAAAACCACAAAGCCTGAGTTAGGATTTTAGCCCCTTTGTACAACACTTGGGGAGAGATAGGCACCTGAGAATGGGATCCATAAAAGCCAGCACTTTAGGCGGGCCAATGGGAGATGCTGACAAGAGGGGGATGTCCTAAGTCCCTCCGCTCTTATAGAGGTTAGGCACCTAAGTCCAGCCTGCAGAGAGGCACCTGTCTCTGCTTGTGGAAACCCTTTTCCTGGAGTCAGGTGACTTAGGTGCCTAAACTATTTTGTAGGGCCTGTCTCACTCCACACAAGATGGAAGGGAAGAGGAGGAAAGCTCCCTAATAACCTTTAGCCCTGTGATTATCCCTTTTCAAATCCCTTCTCTACATCAGGTAGAGGAAGGAATTGAACCAGGGTCTCCCACATCCCAGGTGTGTGCTCCAACCACTGGGCTAAAGATTGTCCTCACTGCCTATTTTGTTAGTGTTAGGCATGCTCTGAGCTTGCGTGCTGGACTCAGGTAGGATAAGCATTCCTCCATCTATCTTCTCCTGGTTTGAGCATCGGTCTGGGGCTTAGCCATGAGATAGGCATCCAGATGCCTGTCTTAGGCAGCAGTGTGCATGCTTAGAGGCAGAAACTTACCTGCCTACGGGACTTTTACAGCAAAAGTTTAGGTACTGAGTGAATTTAGGTACCTGTGGGGTTAGGTGGCAGCCAGGTGGGGGTTTTGCAGATTGCAGTGGTGCCTAAAACTGGGACATGGGATTCTGGATACAATCCAGACCAGTGAGCAGTTGTCACCATTTTCCCTGAAACCCTGCATGCCTTACAGTGCTTTGCTGCTGTAGCTCCCAGCCTGGGATGTTCACCACCTACAAACATGCAGCCTACAAGCATGCAGGTCACACCCTGAAGTGTCTGTGCGCTAGACAGTCCTGGTTCAGCAGCTCTGACCCCAGCAGCCTGTCTATAGCCCCACTGTGTCTTCCACCAGCCTCGGTTACAACCAGCAAGGTGACCCCAACACATTCCCAATCCCAAATTTTCTCAAAGCCTGTGTGCTCTGCAATGTCCAGTCCTCACCTGTTTCAGAGTAGCAGGACAGTGCAGAGAAATAATAAATTTCATTTGTTTCTCTAAAGACACACAAGCACATCATAGCTTATTAACTTAACTTGAGTAAATGCAGCTTTCCCTTTAAACACAGCACTGAATTGGTTTATAGTAAAAAATAAAACAAATTAATTAACAACAAGACATCGGTTCAGTGATGCCAAGTAGAAGGAATACACCTAGAAAGGGCTACAAGCAAATAAAAGTGAAAAACACACATCTAAAACTCAATCTAGCAAGGTATAAGCTTTGTTCAAGATGGTTTCTCATCTACATTCCAGAGACTTCAACTTCTCCTTGGTTGAAGGACCCATCTTTCTCAGCTTGCAAGAACTCTGTTCCCTTGTGTCCATCTAGTGATGGAAGCCGAAGATGGCTTCTATCTTTGCTTATATCTTCCAAAGTTCAGTGACTTTGTTTCAAGAGGTGGGATGATCTCATGCTGTTTTCCCCTTCCTGTGGGCTTCCCACCTCCCTGCATGTAAATGGGCTTCCATTGTTTTGATTCCACATGCTTAATTTACAGGAGAATAGTTTACAGGTAAATAGTTGCATTTTATCCTGTCTGGGAGGGAAACTGTTTCACCTTGTTTGGCCACAGACTTTAAAGCATAATATCATTTAAGTATCCATATTTCCTCATATAGTGTTAGTAAATACCTTTCCCAATTATATTAATCACCAGTGTGTCATTAGCTTCCAGAAAAGACCTCTGTACGCTGTATACAATATTACAGTCTTATAAAACTCAGTTGATTCAGTTGCTTATCACTTGAGATTCGCCACCCTGTGCTTATAGACCATTAAAACTTTGAAACAGATTCTTCTGAGGGTACCCCTCAAAGTAAAGTTTATTCAAGCTGTGAGGAAATCACCATGGAATCTGGTGATGAAGGAAGCTCTGTGCTCTTTTCCCCTCTCTTCCCCCACTTGTTAGCTTTGTTACCTAATATTTAAAAGTGGACCGTCATTGTCTTTAACTGAATACTGGGCTGGTCAGAGAATCAAATACACATTGCTTTGTGTAAGTCATTCCTGTTTACCAGCTCCCCCGACATACCTGATTTCAACACATTTTAGTCATAATTCTACCGTATATCCATAACTCTTAATATACACTGCATACATATATCACACAAGAATATAAATAGTCAGTGTGTTATTAATTTTTAAATTATACAACACAAGGCATATTTTGTACAAAGATTATTACAGTAGTGTGCAGGGTGTGAATACAGGCATACTTAGGATCACAGCACCTAAAATCTTTTGTGGATCTGGCCCCTAGAAAATAAACACATTACTTTCTCAGAAAAAAGAGCTGCTTCGTATCTCATGCATTGGTTTTGCAGGTCGGAATGGGAAATTCAGATTATCTAGCTGCATTTTTCCATGTGTTGCTTCCAGTGGCTTTTGAGGTAATGTTTTTGTTCTAGTTTTTGAATAAAAATAATAAAAAAGAACCTGTTACCCTTTCTAAATACTTTTTAAAGTGGTGTTTTTATAAATATCTGTAGGTATAGGAATGCTGTATGCATTTGAAATGCAGTCGGTCCATTGTTTCTACTGAAAGGAGTGGCTGAATGATTGATGCCTGACTAGTGAAATATTGAAATGAGTTAGGATTTTATTTTTACATATTCAGTGTAAAAGGCTGTAATGAAAACAATACAAAGGCTAAGTCTTGAATAAAGAATTTTCCTGAGTAATGTGTGTAGTCCAGTTGACAGGACTGGGCCCAGGGATTGCAAAAATGCCATATAACATATCTTTGTTTTATCTTAGTTTGTTCCAGAACTTATTCTGGTCTCTTCTGGATATGATTCAGGAATTGGTGACCCGGAGGTAAGCAATTTTACAGGATTTTGCATCTTTTCTCATTCATAATTTTATTTTAAAAGTATACTTATATTTTAAATGTCCTAATTGTCCAGCTCTTGATAGATAGATAGATTTTCACTTTGACCAAGAATAAAACCTCATGTTTCAGGCCTGAAAATAATCTTGAACTTTTAGGAATTAGGCTGAGACATTTATGGGTTGGTGGGGGGAGGTACAGATTTTTCCACATATTGCACATTTGTCTGAAATATCTGGTGCTGGAACCAGGATACTGGGCTATGTGGACCATGGGTGATCCACTATAGCAGTTCTTATGTTACCAGCTTTGTTGACCAAGGCTTCTATTTCTTTCTAACATTTTCCTGGTTTTTAGGGTCAGATGAATGCTACTCCAGAGTGTTTTGCCCACCTTACACATTTCCTAATGCAGTTAGCTAATGGAAGGCTGTGTGCAGTTCTAGAGGTAAAGCTTTAAACGTGTCATTTTTTTGTACATTTTGGAGGGGAGGGTCTCTGTATAAGAGCCTCACCCTAGCCTGAAACTAGAAATAAAAAGCTCAGCAAAATAAATTCTTTCCCTATGCATGTGAAACTTTACTAGAATGTCTTTTTTGAGAACCAGGAATGCAAGAATGGTTAAGATTTTACAGTGCTCTTGTGAGTGTGTAAAAAAGCTGCATCTCTTTTAAACTAACATTTTGTAGTCTACACTTTTGATGGAGAGAGAATTTATATGATGATTTTATATTTGGATTTAAAAAAATAAAGCTTTCAATGTGGGTTCATAGTGCTTGTGCACAGCAACTGGAGTGCTACTCCGAACCATATCAGATCCATTAAGAACAAGGCTGCATTATGGACATTTTTGCAAGTAAACCTTGCCCCAATAGAGCTTTTAAAGTCATCTGCCCAAGTACATATTTACCCAGTAATGGAGTCCTTATTGATTTCTCATTGTATTTATTAAAAAACCTCTACACGACCTACTGCTATTGAAAGCTATCTTTTTAACTAAGAAAATATTTTATCTTTCTGAACATTTCATGGTGCATCCTTCACACTCACCCTCTCGACAGCATCCTAAAGAACTGATGGCTCTTGTGGGCATGTTGAGTTTGTAGAGATATTACTACTCATTCAAGGCATCCAAGCCTGGTTTCTCTCCTAAGGCGAACCCATTTCTCATCCTCATTCTCCATTTAATTATTCCTTTTAAACCTCCTCTCTTCTGCCTGTTACAAAGTTACAGTTGCAGTCCCTTCTTTCTAGCTAAGACAGAAGCAAGCATTGTCCTCTGAGGCTAATGCCATGGCTGCTCCATAAGCAGGCTGCAGGAAGCACTTTACCAGCTGCAACCCAAGTACCTCACCTCTGATGGGCCATCAGGCCAGCCACATCTCATAATTTTAACAAATGCTATTTGTGATATTGCCTGGCCCTAGTTACAATCCATTAGTCTTAGCAGAGAGGCCAAGAACTGAAAGGGCATGGAAAGTAAAATACCTGGAAAAGGCTCTTGTACATCAGAATTAATGTACAGTGTGCCCGTGTTGCCAAGAAGGCCAATGGCATTTTGGGATGTATATGTAGGGGCATTGCCAGCAGATCGAGGGACGTGATCGTTCCCCTCTATTCGACATTGGTGAGGTCTCATCTGGAGTACTGTGTCCAGTTTTGGACCCCACACTACAAGAAGAATGTGGAAAAATTGGAAAGAGTCCAGCGGAGGGCAACAAAAATGATTAGGGGACTGGAACACATGACTTATGAGGAGAGACTGAGGGAACTGGGATTGTTTAGTCTACGGAAGAGAAGAATGAGGGGGGATTTGATAGCTGCTTTCAACTACCTGAAAGGGGGTTCCAGAGAGGATGGATCTAGACTGTTCTCAGTGGTAGCAGATGACAGAACAAGGAGTAGTGGTCTCAAGTTGCAGTGGGGGAGGTTTAGGTTGGATATTAGGAAAAACTTTTTCACTAGGAGGGTGGTGAAACATTGGAATGCATTACCTAGGGAGGTGGTGGAATCTCCTTCCTTAGAAATTTTTAAGGTAAGGCTTGACAAAGCCCTGGCTGGGATGATTTAGTTGGGGATTGGTCCTGCTTTGAGCAGGGGGTTGGACTAGATGACCTCCTGAGGTCCCTTCCAACCCTGATATTCTATGGTTCTATGATACATTGGTCTTTTACCATTCTATACCTGTCAATGGATGAATAGTGGATTTCAGTCTCCAGAGGTGTCAGTGTTGCAATCTTTGAGCACTAAGGTGTATATCAGAATAGATACTTGCAGATGAAAATGAGTTTAATAGAGATGAAAGCATCATGGGTGAGATCCTCACCCCCCCAATTCTGACCCTTTTATGTTGGGTAAGAGGGCCAGAGCAGTATAAAGGGGCCCTAAAATTCCTTGTTCCAGCTGGGTGAGGAGTCCCCTTGTGAAAGCACTCTAGGATCCTGCAAGGTGGGAGGGTCCCAGAGCTCAGGCTAAACATCTACACTGCAATTAAACAGCCCCTTAGCCTGAGCCCTGTGAGCCTGAGGCAAGGGCCAGCCGTGGGTTTTTAATTGCAGTGTAGACGTACCTTTAGTGGCTCAGTACGGAATCTCACCCCAAGTTTCCCAATTGTTTATTTTATTTTTATTTTTTTTTTGTAAGATCATAACTGATTTCCAGTAATGCAGTCCAACCATATTATGCTCTTTGGTGTCATTTCACAATGACGTATTTTAACAAGTTGCTTCTGACTAAGTGTTTTCAGACTGAAACAGAAACTGTAGCTGACTATTTATTTCCATGGCACTAGCCATTAGATCCTACTTTCCATTTAGCTAACATGCAGGCATATTTCAAAAGGTGGATGTAGAATATTTTTAAATGAAAAAATATACTTTCTACAAGCACGTTTTACAGATAGTTTATTTAGTACGTATTTGTTCTTTGCATTGCACAAAATATAGTTTAATTTTCCTAGGGTGGATACCATTTGAAGTCATTGTCTGAATCAGTCTGCATGACTGTAAAAACTTTGCTTAGAGACCCTCTCCCCCAGATCTCTGGAGAAATGGCACCGTGCTTAAGGTATGGATCAAGAAATATTTTGTTTCATGCTATATGTGTCTGTTTTTCTTGTTTATGGAAGACGCTGATTGTACATTGAACTGGAGCTATTGGAGTGTGAGCTAGAAATCAAGTCACATGGGCATTTCATATTATTTTTTCTACTTGTATCATCAAGCCTAAAAGTGTAAAGAAAACTACCTTAAAACCTGAATGTGGGAAACAGAACATTTCATTAAAAATGCTACAATTTCCAGAAAATAATTAAAGTGCTCATTCCTTACTTTTTTAATCCTGATGCTCAAAAATATTAAACAATATTATGATATTGATAAATGCAAATTAAGAAGTTAGGCCCCAGTTCAGAAAGATACATAAGCACATGCCTAGCCTTAAGCACATGAATAGTTCCATCAATGGGACAGTTAAGCATGTGCTTATTATACCTTGCTGAATCAGGGCTTTAATATGCTGCTACAATGCATTATTTTTCTGACTCTGATCGCTCCCACTTCAAAATGATCCATGTATTTCTGGTTTTGTTTTCCTTTTCTGGGATTATTTCCAATTAAGCTTAAAAGGTGAAAGAACTCAGGAGGGGAATTTTTTTTACTATCTCTATCCTTAAGCCTCGTTTCTCTATAGACATCCACCTCAGTCAAAGCTGAACTCCTAATGCCGTGACTGGCAATACCAGATGATAACAGCCAGTGGGAGAGTGAGTTTGTGGGTGTGGTTTTTGGAAAGGGGGGTGGGGGGTGAGAAAACCTGGATTTGTGCTGGAAATGGCCCACCTTGATTATCATACACATTGTAAGGAGAGTGATCACTTTAGATAAGCTATTACCAGCAGGAGAGTGGGGTGGGAGGAGGTACTGTTTCATGGTCTCTGTGTATATAATGTCTTCTGCAGTTTCCACAGTATGCATCCGATGAAGTGAGCTGTAGCTCACGAAAGCTTATGCTCAAATAAATTGGTTAGTCTCTAAGGTGCCACAAGTACTCCTTTTCTTTTTGCGAATACAGACTAACACGGCTGTTACTCTGAAACCTGTCGGACAGCAATGTGTTCGTGTAATGGAACACTAAATTGTATTATACTGTTCAGCCTCTAGGTTGCACTGTGTGAGAAATACCTTATTCAAGCTAACCTCAGCCATACCTGCGGGCAGAGCATTAAAGGATGGTATAGTGAGCACATCTGGTGTCTCTCTTGCTCACAAACAAGCTCTGTACTCAGTCGATAGCTGATCCAGGACTACAACACTACACATTCTCTTTCATTTTCTGTGGCTGACACTTGCAAGTAATCATTCCAAGTAACATGCCCTTCTCTTTGTTTTTCTAGCAAAAACTTCAGAAACGGAGTCTTATGTTCAGCTTGGCAACCTTCCCTATATTTTCATCTGAACTGATGATGCTAATCACTTGTCTTTTGTAGTGCTGTTGAGTCTATACAAAATGTGAGAGCTGCACATAAACCATACTGGAAATGTCTGATGTATGAAGGTAATTGGTCTTCTGTTTCTTTTTGCTAATGTGATTGATAAATGTGATACATACTTGAACTCCAGAAAAGATTTATAATTAATATCCATAGGTTCAAATAACCTACCTACTTCACGGAAGTATTGTGAGGGATCACTATTCAGGGCCAAATTCTTTGCTGGTGTAATTTGGCATAGCTCATAAGAACATAAAAATGGCCACTTGGGGTCAAACCAGTGGTCTATCTAGTTCAATATCCTATCTTCCAACGGTGGCCAATGCCAGATGCTTCAGTGGGAATGGACAAAACAGGGCAATTCTCAAGGGATGGATCACTTGTCGTCCAGTCCCAGCATCTGGCAGTCAGAAGCTTAAGGACGCCCTAAGCATGGAGTTGCATCCTTGACCATCTTGGCTAATAGCCATTGATGGACCTATCCTCCGTGAACTTACCTAATTCTTTTTTGAACCTTGTTATAGTTTTGGCCTTCACAACATCCTGTTTCACAGGTTGACTGTAAGTTGTGTGAAAAAGTACCTTCATTTGTTTGTTTTTAAACTGATGCTTATTAATTTCATTGGATGACCCCTTATTCTTGTATTATGTGAAGGGGTAAATAACACTCCCTCGCTCACTTTCTCCACACCAGTTATGATTTTATAGACCTCTATCACATCCCCCATGTAGTAATCTCTTTTCCAAGCTGAACAGTCCCACTCTTATTAATCTCTCCTCATATGGATGCTGTTCCATACCCCTAATCATTTTTGTTGCCCTTCTCTGTACCTTTTCCAATTCCAATATACCTTTTTTGAGATGGGGTGATCAGAACTGTATTTAGTATTTAAGGTGGAGGTGTACCTTGGATTTATATAGTGGCATTATGATATTTACTGTCTTATTAGTAAGGCTGCAAGTCTGTCATGGAGGTCATGGAAGTCATGGATTTTGTGACTTTCTGGGATTTCTGTGACTTCTGCAGCGGGCAGTGCTGGCTTAGGGGCTGCCCAAGTTGGGCAGCCCTTGGGCCAGCAGCAGCAGTTCAGGGGTGTGGGAGGGGACTCAGGGTTAGGGGCAGGGGGTTGGGCAGTGTGTGTGTGGATGCTTACCTCGGGGTGGGGGGCTCCCTGGTTCCCACTGGCATGGCCCTGCAGCTCCAAGGCAGTGGAAGGACTAGGGGGCTCCGTGTGCTGCCCGTGCCCATATGCCCCTGGCCCGCAGCTCCCATTGGCTGCGGTTCCTGGCCAATAGGAGCTGTGCAGCCGGAGCTGGTGGCAGGAGTAGCGTGCAAAGCCCCCATGGCTCCTCTGCCACCTAGGAGCTGCAGGGACATGCGGAGCCGGGTAGTGAGCCTCTGCCAGCCCTACCAACCATCCAACTTCCCCCAGCACCTGTGGCCCCCTGCCCAAGTTTTAGTTAGGGGTATATAGTAAAAGTCATGGACAGGTCATGGGCTGTGAATTTTTGTTTACTGCCCATGACCCGTCCATGACTTTTACTAAAAATACCCAGGACTAAAACATAGCCTTACTTATTAGCTATCCCTTTCCTAATGGTTCCTAACTTTCTGTTAGCCTTTTTGACTCGCTGCATATTGAGTGGATGTTTTCAGAGAACTATCCATAATGACTCCAAGATCTCTTTCTTGAGTGACAACATCAAATTTAGACCATATCATTTTGTATGTATAGTTGGGATTATGTTTTCAAATGTGCATTACTTTTCATTTATCAACATTTGAATTTCATCTACCATTTTGTTGCTCAGTCACCCAGTTTTGTTCGATCCCTTTGTGATGCTTCTCAATCAGCTTTGGACTTACAAAATTACTCAAGAAAGTTAAGTTATCATCTGCACGCTTTGTCACCTCACTGTTTACCCCTCTTTCAAATAATTTATGAATATTTTGAACATTTATGAATATGTCCCAGTACAGATCCCTGGGGGATACCACTATTTACCTCTCTCTATTCTGAAAACTGACCATTTATTCCTTGCCAGAGTTTATGCTCCTTTCTATTTTTTGCTTCTAACCACCACTTTCACTCTGTTTTTTAGCCATGGTGGCACTTTTTGTTCATCTTACTATTTTTTTTTAAATTTTGGGGTATACATTTAATTTGAGCCTCTATTACGGTGTTTTTTAAAGTTTACCTGCGGCTTTCAGTCATTTCACTCTTGTTACTGTTCCTTTTAATTTCCTCATTTTTGTGTAGTTCCCCTTTCTGAAGTTATATGTTACTGTGGTGGGCTTCTCTGGTATTTCTTCTCACCCCGAAGGATGTTTAGTTTAATTATATTATGGTTACTATTACCAAGCGGTTCAACTATATTCACCTCTTGCATCAGATCCTGTGCTCTGCTTAGGACTAAATCAAGAATTGCCTCTCCCCTTGTGGGTTCCAGGGCTAGCTGCTCCAAGAAGGTCTAGAAAGTCTAGAAACTTTATCTCTGCATCCTGTCCTGTACCTAGTCAATATGGGGATAATTTAAATCCACCATTATGATTGAGTTTTCTATTTTTATAGCTCCACTGATTTACTTACTCCAGCTGAAAATCTGGTCCTCAGTGTCTCAAAAAATGCTGTGACATCCTTGGTTGGAAGTGCTAATATGTATTACAGGATGCACAATCAGTATTTGGTCCCCAGTGAGCAAAGGGTTAACCTTTGGTCAGCTTCCTCCTCCCTTTGTATGCTTGCTCAGATTGGCTGCTTGAGAGACAAGAGGGGCAGAGGATGCTTTTGTGAAGGTTTGGCACCAGTGTCATAAGTCTGGGTTAAATCTCATGCTGAGGAGTATTGTGTGTTCTTTTTCTGTTTGTTAATTTATTTTGCTTTCTTCTTACAACTACTAGTGATATTCCTTTGAGGCAAAAACCTTGCTAACTGCAACTGGTTTTCTTTCTGCTGAATCATTCCACCAATTCAGAATATAAAAGCGGTACATGTTGTTGATTGTTTCGTTCCTTCTACTGTGGTCCATCCCAGCTAATGGTACACATTGTAGGCTTTTTCAAATTGAGGTTGTTGGGTAAAAGCATCATATATAGGATTCTAATCTCTTGAGATTTACACAGATATTCCCAGTAATGTTTATGGCTTTTATTCAAGGATGAGTATACCTTTAGGCCCCAATCCTGCAAACACTTCCTGCAAACACTTATACAGGTGCATAACTTTATGTACATGAGTGGGTCTGATGAACTCAGTGCAATTAATTCAGTTAAGCACCTGTAGGATTGGGGCATCAAAGAATACAGAACAATTTATTTTACACTGCAAATAAAAACTTTTAGAAACAGCTTTATTTGCTTATCTTTCATATTAATCAAAGGAAGGTTGAAGCCATATTATTATGAAAACAAGAATGCCAAATATCACTTCTGAAAATTACATATTTCTTTGTAGCATAAATATGTTGAAATCAGCACCTGCAAATATATATTTGCACCAGCCAGGCAAATGCACCCCTCTATGGTAAATAAATGCAATTACTGTACATGTTAATATATAACATTTTTAGTGCCTAGGAATTACACTTGCGTTTTATGATACTTATGAACCCAAAAAATGCATTTTTTTTCTAGAAGCAACTCCTTTACACAATCTCGTTACCAAGTCAAAACAGATGATGGAGGCTGAGCTAATTCAAACTAGTACACATCCCACAGCAAAGCAAGCGGTTGGGAAGACTAACAGTGATGAAGCTATCAAAATAGACAGGTTTTTGGAATCACACATGAAAAAAATTCTCTTTCCAGTGCCTCCTGTTAAAACAGCAGCAGCAATTGTCTCTAAAGCTGATGCACATTTGCTACCAATATCTGTTCAAGTGGAGATGGAAATGAATGCACAAGAACTGAAAACTCTTGTCAGGTTGGTTTTATTTATGTGGCTGTCAACTTAATGTTGCGGAGTGGGCATGGTATAGTGATTTGACCACAGGACTGGAAACCAGTGACTCTTGTCTTCTAATCCTAGTTCTCTGATACTAACTTTCTCTTTGGCCTTGGCCTTCCTTAACCTTTGCCTCAGTTTCTCCATCGGCAAAATAGGGTAAATGATATATATCTCCCATGTCGGCAAAGCTCTTTGTAGAGCTTGTCAGAACATTTGTGACTAAAAGTAATTTAATCAAATATACTGGATTTTTTTGTGTTTTTGTTTTTTCCAAAACTAAAACACTTTGCAGAAACATACCGATTTCAATGAAGTTTGCAGTAGGAAGTTTTCTGAGGGCCAGGGCTCTCTGTTCACTTCTGACCAGAGAAAGGTAGAGGGAGACCTGAATTGAAAACCTAAGCTTTTCAATCCATAAACAACTGTTTCAACACAATTCTGTTTTGGAAAGTGTCCCAAAGGGTTTTGTGGAGTGAAAACAAAGTTCAAGATCTCAAAAATTGTCATGAAACAAAATTGTCATCCTCTGACCACCTCTAGTTCTTTGAGGACAAATGTGTAGCACTTATAAAATACTTTAGAAACATTTATTAATTAACATTACTATACTATTCAGAATATAACAGATTATTATTCATAACCCAATTTTAATTAGTTTTAAAAAACTTATTTTACAGTGCACTTGATGCAGAACTTGTGAAGGAAGAGAGAGCTTTACTCTCTCTTCAGAATGTGGTGGCTATCCTAGATAAAATACTAAAGAAGAAGGTAATATTAACTGCCTATATTGTTTTCTATGTTTCTTCTGCTCTTTGATTGTTCTTCAGTGTTAGTTCAATATTAGTTATGTCTTTTCCTATCCTGCTAGTGTCCGTCAGATTGTATCTGTGTTAAAATTGTGACTACTTACTAGAGTAAATGGGAAAGATAAGAGAAAATATATATGAACAGCAGCTTACTTCAGTAATTTTTTTGATTGTGTTTGATCAAGATTGTGCCCTGTCTTTATGTGAGCAGGGGCATATGGGGGAGCAAGAATCCCCCTTGTTCTGTAGGCCTACCCAGATCATTGCTCTGACTCTTAAGGGAGTGCAGAGGGCTGTGCACTTGATGCTTCAAGCAAAACTGGGAGGGGAGAAGGTAGAGCCAAGGCGATGCAAATGGAGTATGTTGCACCCCATAAAGAAGCGTCTCAAATTATTCCTTCCCCAGTGCACATTGGGAGTAATTTTTCCTTTTTGATCCTACCATTAGGGCAGTGCAGTTACGCATCCTCCCTTATTGTGGGTTGCATGTTAAATGTACAGTTTAGCCCTTTTATTATTATATCTGTTGATGTCTGAATAACAGTTTACTCAGAACTGAGCTTTTCTCTCTGTTTAACTCTCCAGTGAAGCAATAATCCTCTTTGTTTTGTTTAAAACATCAGTGTATTGCCATGAAAATTAATGTGATACCCCAAATTCAGTGTGATGATTTCACTGCAGGATCAGGAACTAAGGAAAGATGGGCTTTGAAGTATCAAGACTATATTTAAACACAACTGTTATCAACAATTGGCAGGAGTGACCAGAAGAATTACAAATAACAAGCGAAACATAAATGAGTTTGTATTTTGTCATTGTACAGTTGCAAACTTTCTCTCTGGATGAACATCTCATTCTAAAGTGCAGTACTTGTCAGAATCGTACTCAACAGGTCTGCTTCCTGCTATTGATATTTAGAGTCATATTTGCAGATGTTGGTGGCAAAAGCAAGTTGTTTATGTCTGCTAACATTACCAACCCCACTCAGCTCTGGGAGAGGGAGCTGGATTGTACAACAGTCAAGAGAACTAATAACTAAATTGCAGTTGGAGAACCTTTATTGTTCAAAATCCAAAAAGTTCCCATTTTGACTTTCAGATTCTAGGCTGAGCTTCCCATGCTGGGAATTGGGAAATCCTTGTTTTACTCCATATTTATGTAGCATCTGAAGACATGACACAGACATTAGCTAATTTAATCTTTGCGGGGGTAGGTATTGTTCAGATAGGGGATGGGAAGGTGAAGGGATTTGGCCAAGATCACAATGACAGTGACAGTTAGAACTTGGCACAGCCTGATTCCCAGACCAGTGTTTGTTCCTCTTGAGCAGTGCCTACTTGTAAACTGAGCAGATTTATCTATAAGTCATTGAGTGACAATAAACATGGAACCCCATGGTGCCATTTTTACAGAGTCACTTTTCAGCATAGAACAACGCTTTTAAATAGGTTGCCAGACAGAGCCACTGTGTAGCATAACAGCCAAACACATCCTCTTTGCAGGTAGTGGGCCACGAGGACTTTTACCAATCTTGTTAGGCTACATCATTAATGTTCCTTTCACACAGCTGTAGCTTTGTTTGCATTTATATATAATGTATAGACAAAAACAGGTTCAACTGGTACAAATTAAAAAATGGTATGATATAGGATTTATTATGATTTATTAATACAAATTTTTATTTTTAGGTGTGCAATGGAATTGCAGAATCATCTCTGGCTTCTGTTTCTACAACCTTTGCACTAAAGCACTGCTTTGATTTTGGATTACAAAGGTGAGCTATGCTCATTGGATATGGTGCTCTCTTATAAAATTTGAAAATGTGATGCAAGTTCATAAACTACAATGGGCTGCCTTAAAAACATTTCATTTGCCTCTGTAATGAAACAACATCACCTCAATATGTGCAAAATTGCCTATACTAAATATAGGCAACCCTGTAAATGTGACCATAAAGCTATCTAGTTATCAAAGGCAAAACGCAACGTTTTAAGAGTGATTGTTAAATAACAGTTTTTCTAACTCTGTTTTTTGATTGCCTAAGTCCCCATTATTTTTATCAGCCTGTTGTATTATTTGTTTTTTGTCCTGAACTGTCATGAACCCGTATGCTATCCCATTGTTTTTTATATTGCTAATAGGTCAAATTCAGAGAAGACCCACGGTTGTTTATTATTTTTTCTGGATTGAATTCTCTTCCACACATGTAAACCCCTTAGCCAAATGGCCACATTTTCAGATTTTTTTCTGGTACTGATTACTTAATTGCACTGCATGTTTTTAAAAGTTAGAAACTTATAAATGTAAGGGGTGTGTGTGTGTGTGTGTGTATAACACACACACACACATAATTATTCTTTGTGTTCTGTAGAGTGCTCTGCATAGTTGTTGGAGACGTGGATCTTGAACTCGATTTAGATGATGGGTAAGACTTTCCATTTGTTTCAGGTGATTAAATCCCAGAGGATCATTTCTAAATGATTCTAGGTGCACATATGTCTGAGGAAACTTGCATTAAATGACTACCCAAGCACCCAACAAACATTAGTTGTTTAATGGAGTTGATACCTAATAAAGTTGCGGCAGAATTGTACTCAGTATGTTTAGGTATATTTTGGGATGGCCTCTAAAGACAGAAGGTTGCCTTATAAGGGTTGTCTCTGGTAGGTTTTGTTGTTGGTTTAAAGTATAATCCTTTTCGATATTATTGAAAATTGAGATTGAAATGTCAGGCTATTTAAAAAAGGGATCTAAAAAGAGCAATATGTGATCAAATGTATTGCTGTTAATCACAGATGCTTTATTTAAGTCACTAAGAGCCCAGCACAGGTGAATGTGATGGTGGGGAGAAGGCACAAAATATCTTTTGCCTTCACATTCATGTGCCCCTACAGAGGGGCCAGATACATTCCCAGTCCTTGTCTGAGGTAATGCCAGCTCCAGGCTAGAACAGCAGTGAAACCAGCCTCAACAAAGGGTCAGACCATGGTCATGCCCTCTTGAACAACCAGTAGAACTGGCACCAGGATTAGGAACTGTATGATGCATGCTGTAAAAGGGTTAGCGGGGGGGGTCATCTTGCCCATGCTCATCTAGAACCCTAGACTCAGTGGGACTCTATGTTGTTCTCTAGATTTGTATTAGGAGAGGAAGAAGCAGGACTGGGCAGATAGCAAGGAGAGGGCGTGCATACATCATTTCCCACCTAACTCTGCAGTTTATCTACAAAATGGCTATATTATCTTTTCCATGGGGGGTCTCTCCATGGCTAGGACCTCTCTTTGAGGGGGTTTCCCTAGCCAGCCATTGGGAATGGAAAGCTACCAGGGGCACAGAACGGCTGCAGAGACACAAGATCTCCCTGCTGCTGGCCCCAGTCCACAACTGTTCCTCCAGGATCCATGTGGGTCACAGGGGACACAAGATTTCCTCCATCTGAGTCACCTCCAATGGGTGTTACCATGGGGGCTGGAAGCTTTCTGGGCAATCCCAGCAGAGCAATGGCACAGATTCTCAAAGGTATTTAGACTTCCACTGAAATCAGTGGTTGAAATTCAGTTGATTTCAGTGGAAGCTAGGAACCTAAGTATCTTTGAGGATCTGGGCTAATATGGCTACACATGCTCATCACAGAGCTGTGCCTTGAAGACACAGTCTATTCCAAAATGTATACAAAATACCATGTAGGACTTGAATTTGCTAAACGGTATCAAACTATCTCAGTATTAGAACCTAACATGGAAGGCAAGTTTCTTGTTGTTTGTACAGATGTAGGCATATTATGTGTGTACAGCACCTAGCACAATGGGGTCCTAATAAATAATAATGCTGTGTAGAGGTTTGTGGGGCAAGCCAATTGTGACATTAGACTCAAACTTTACATGATCTTGATGGTTCCCCTCGCTCACCCAGTCCTGTAATAGATCCCTAACCTCTGGCTGAGTTATTGAAGTCCTCAAATCAGAGTTTAAAGACTTCAAGATTACAGAGAATTCACTATTTACACTAGTTTAAACCGGCAAGTGACCCGTGCCCCATGCTGCAGAGGAAGGTGAAAAACCCCCAGGGTCTCTGCCAATCTGACCTAGGGGAAAATTCCTTCCTGACCCCAAATATGGCGATCAATTAGTCGCTGAGCATATGGGCAAGACCCACCAGGCAGATTCCTGGAAAAAAATTCTCTGTAGTCACTCAGAGCCCTCCCCATCTAGTGTCCTGTCTCTGGCCATTGGAGATTTTTGCTACTGGCGGTCACCAGTGAGCCACATGCCATCATAGGCAGTCCCATCATGTCATCCCTTCATCAAGCTCAGTCTTGAAGTCAGTTTGGTTTTTTACCCCACTGCTCCCCTTGGAAGACTGTTCCACAACTTCTCTCCTCTGATGGTTAGAAACCTTTGCCTAATTTTGAGCCTAAACTTATTGATGGTCAGTTTATATGCATTTGTTCTTATGTCCACATTGGGGCTTAACTTAAATAATTCTTCCCCCTCCCTGGTATTTATCCCTCTGATGTATTTAGAGAGAGCAATCAAATCTCCCCTTAGCCTTCTTTTGGTTAGGCTAAACAAGCCATGCTCTTTGAACCTCCTCTTATAAGGTAGGTTTTCCATTCTTTGGATTATCCTAGTAGCCCTTCTCTGTACCTGTTTCAATTTGAATTCATCTTTCCTAAACCCTGGAGACCTGAATTGCACAAAGTATTCCAGATGAAGTCTCAACAGTGCCTTATACACCTCTCCCTGATATAATATGGTCCTCGGGAGACAAAAAAAATCTCACCGCATTATAGGTGAAACTGCATTATATTGAACTTGCTTTGGGCCCCCCTTTCCTTGTTCCCTGACCATCCCCTACCCAACCCCCCTGCTCCCTGTCCCCTGACTGCTCCGACCCCTCTCCACACCCTCTGCCCCATGACAGGCACTCACCAGCAGCAGCAGGAAGCGGAGCAACACGGCCCCAGCCCGCTCCACTCTGCCACCTCCCAGCCACAGCGCTCCGCTTCCCGCCACCAGTGAGTACAGAGGGTGTCCTTTCCCGAACCTCCCCTCACTCACCGGTGGCGGGAAGCGTTGGGGAAAGGATGCCCCCCGTACTCACCTGCGGCAGGAAATGGAGCACCGCGGCTGGGAGCTGGTGGAGTAGAGCAGGCTGGGGCCGGGCTGCTCCACTTCCCCACCGCTGGTGAGTGCGGGGGGGATCCCTTCCCCCTCCCCCGAGCAACATGGCTGGGGACGGGGTGAGGAAAGCGGAGCGGGCTGCCCCCGGCTAATCTCCTGGGCCACTCTGGGACTGTGGGGCCCCCAAAAGTGCCCCCCCAGCCCTTTCCTCCCAGACCCTGGAGGTTGGGGAGAAGCCCCTGACCACCCCCAAGACCCTCTGCCCCTTATCCAACCCATCGGCCCAGCCCGGCCCCCTTAACATGCTGCTCAGAGCAGTGTGTCGGAGCTTTACCGCGTTGTATGCGAACCCCCATTATATCGGGTCGCGTTATATCTGGGTAGAGGTGTATAATGATACTAACACTTCCCTGTTTCTACTGGAAATACCTCACCTGATGCATCCTGGGACTCCATTAGCCTTTTTCACAGCCACATCAAACTCATGGTTCATAGTCATCCTGTGATCAACCGATACATCCAGGTCTTTCTCCTCCTCTGTCACTTCCAACTGGTAAGTCCCCAGTTTATAGCAGAAATTCTTGTTAGTCCCTAAATACATGATCTTGCACTTTGCACTATTAAATTTTATCCTGTTTCTATCACTCCAGTTTACAAGGTCATCCAGATCTTCTTTTAGGATATTCTGGTCCTCCTCCATATTGGCAATACCTCCCAACTTTGTGTCCTCCACAAATTTTATTAGCTCACACTCGCTTTTTGTGCCAAGGTCAGTCATAAAAAGATTGGTCCCAAAACCAGTCCCTGAGGAACTCCACTAGTAACCTCCCTCAAGCCTGACAGTTTACTTGTCAATATGAACTGTTGTAGTCCCCCTCCTTAAACCAGTTCCTTATCCACCTTTCAATGCTCATATGAATCCCCATCTTCTCCAATTTAACTAATTTCCCATGTGGAACTGTATCAGATGTCTTACTGAAATCCACATAGATTAGATCTACTGCATTTCCTTTGTCTAAAAAAATCAGTTATCTTTTCAAAGAAGGAAATCTGGTTGGTCTGGCACGATCCACCTTTTGTAAAACTATAATGTATTTTATCCCAGTTACTGTTCACCTCTGTCCTTAATTACTTTCTCTTTCAAAATTTGTTCCAAAGACCTTGATACAATTAAGGTCAAACTAACAGGTCTGTAGTGTCCGGGATCACTTTTCCCCCCTTTCTTAAAAATAGGAACTATATTAGCAATTCTCTAGTCATAGGGTACAACCCCCGAGTTTACAGATTCATTAAAATTCCTTGTTATTGGACTTGCAATTTCATGTGCCAGCTCCTTTGATATTCTTGGATGGAGATTATCCGTGCTCCCTGATTTAGTCCCATTAAGATGTATGAGTTTTGACTTCCACCTCAGATGCGGTAATTTCTACCTCCACATCCTCATTGCCATTAGCCACGCTGCCACTACCCCTAAGCTCCTCATTACCCTTATTAAAAACTGAGGCAAACTATTTGTTTAGGTGTTGGGCTAGGCCTAGATAATATTTACTCTCCACCCCCATCCCCAGTGTTTAGCAGTCCCACTTCTACTTTCCTTCTTTTCTTCTTATTTATATGGCTATAGAACCTTTTACTGTTGGTTTTAATTTCCTTTGCAAGATCCAACTCTGCTTGGCTTTTGTGAGTTCTCACTTTATCCCTACACTTTCTTACCTCCAAGAGGCTAGCTTTCCTTGCTGATCCCTCCCCTCTTCCATTCCTTGTAGGCTTTTCCGCTTTCTCTTCATCACCTGTTTTGTGATGCTTGCTCATCCAGCTTGCTCTGCCACTCTTCCCTACAAATGTTTTCCCCTTGCTAGGGATGCAGGCTTCAGATAGTTCCTGCAACTATGACTTAAAGTAATTCCAAGCCTCCTTCATCTTCAGATCCTTGAGTTCTTCAGTTCAGTCCATCTCTCTCACTAATTCCCTTAATTGTTTAAAGTTAGTTCTTGAAATCAAGGGCCCTTGTTGCAGATCTATTTTTGTTTATCCTTGCATTTAAACTGAACTAGCTCATGATCATTCAAACCAAGGCTGTTCTCTACAACCAGTTCTTCTATGAGGTCCTCACTACTCGCAAATACCAAATCTAAAATGGCATCACCTCTTGTTGCTTCAGCGACTAGTTGGAGAAGAAATCAGTCAGCTATCACATCCAGGAAAATCTGGGCCCTACTATTATTGGTAGCACTTGTCCTCCAGTCTATATTTGGGAAGTTAAAGTCTCCCATAATCACACAATTTCCAGTACTATTTATTTCATTAAAAACATTAGATGTTCGTATCCATATCCAAATTAGATCCTGGTGGTCTGTAGCACACCCCAAGCACTATGTCAGGGGAACTTCTAGAAGCTTTCTTCCCCAAAGTGATTTTGGCACAGACAGACTCTTATCTTATCCATTCCATCACTTCTAATTTCTTTACGTCTATCTTATCATTAATATACTTTGCTACTCTACCTCCTTTGCCTTTATTTGTCTTTTCTGAACAGCACATACTCTTCAATACCTGTACTCCAGTCCATGTCTACGATTCCACCATGTTTCTGTTATCCCTATAATATCTGGTTTCACTTCCTGTACCAATAGTTCTAGTTCCTCCATTTTGTACACCAATGCAGGGAGCCCGGGTAACAAATGTCCTAATTGTTGCTGCTTGGCTTCCCCGACATTCATTGCCCGATTGGGTACAGTCATTCTACTGCCAGTATCACCACTATTCTTCCTCTTAATGTACATTGTTGTACCCCCTGCTGTTCCTTTCTCCATTCCTGTATCCTTTCTTACTTGATTTTCCTCGCCCTCAATGTTAAAATCAAGTGTGGAAATTACATGAGCATTTCCCCTAAGTTCCTCGTTTAAAGCTCTTTTAATGAGTTGTGCCGACCTCCATCCTAGAAGTCTGTTTTCCTCCCTACTCAGGTGGAGTCCATCCCACAAGAACTGTCCTCTGTCCATGAATGCCTCCCAGTGGTCAAACATCCCAAAGCCCTCCTTATAGCACCATTGCCTGAGCCATCTGTTGATCATCAGAATCTTGTCTCACCTTCATTCTCCTCCTCTAGTAAAAGGCAGAATCCCACTGAAGATCACCTGAGCCTCCATTTCCTTAAGCTTCTTCCCCAGCTTGGCATAGTCTCCCAATTTTGGTACTGTGAAAGTAGTTATTTCTTTATTGCATACTATGAAAATGTGCTTGCTAATCATATGTGGGGCTGGGGGGAAGAAGAGTCAAATAGACAATTCTTTATTGAAGGCCAACTTTACATCTCCAGCTCCTCTTTCCACTAAAAGTGGCTTGATCATTATTTTCCTAAAAACTTTAATACAAAAAAATTATTTTTATTGAGATTTCAGTTTTAACTGGTATTGACCTTTTTTAATCTTACTTTTCACAATTTAAACAAGGGACTACAATGATTCAGAAGTGTTTGCTGCTGAGTTAAATTTGAGATCAAATTTATATAAGGGGCCACGAATATCGTCCAAAGAATAATTTTTAATATCCACTTTCACTAATTTCACTAGTATTATTTATTATCTCATTAGAAGTTGTTGATGGAAATAGTGAAATGTATTTTTTATCTACAGAAAAATACTTTTGATGAACATTTGCCAGAAACAGCAAACTGAAAAGACCAACTCCAAATATCATATTTCTCTGAACTGGAGAGAGGTACATTAAAAAATTCTGGAAACCAAATAAGATAAAGGACTTTTTTTTTGTTTTTTAAACTAAGTTAGAATAGAATCAAGTATATTTACTAGTTCGTAAAACTGACAATAGTGTCTAAGATTATCAATTTGATTCAAGTTTTTACTAATGAAATTGGGGGGGAAATTTCAAAGATACAAATGGGAGTTAGACATCTAACTGCCATTAGGCCTTTAAAAATCTCCCCTTTTTTTTCTTCTTCATTTGTGTATAGTGCATCTTAGGCACCAAAGTTGTGACAGCTTGAAGAAGGTTAAAATGGCCTCTGACACTAGTCCTGGAGGGGTGGAGTTGTAATGAAAGGGGAGATGAATAATGCATGATGCGTAATTAATACAAGTAATGATTCATATGAAAATAGGAACACTACATGAGATCAGAGAAGTATCCTGTTTCCAACAGTGATCTATTCTAGAAGTTTTTTATAGTTGTTCTCCTTTATTTCTTTGTTTTGTTTATTTTTTAATCTCTGTTTTTTGGTACATACAGGGATTTTGGAGTTTCACATAAATGTTAAATTGTTTTCTGTTTCTTGTTAAAGGATGCTGAAAGAAACAATTTCTTTTGTGCTGTACTTGGATTCATTCTTCCTGTAGCGTATAGCTATCAGCCTGACTTAATGATAATAGTCATTGGACCAAACAGGAGCCTTGGTATAAATGGGATTTCTCTACTTACTTGTTTACTGCAAGGATTAGCTGAGTCTCGAATTCTTGTGGTAATTCAGGTAAGAAGTGGTGCTAATCTTGATTATCCTAAAATCCTTTTAGCTGACAAAGAAACTATTCTATTTAAGCACCATTGTCTTGAGTAGAAGTAGCAGTAGGCTGTCAGCATCCTCATTTATCAGAGCGTCACCAGAATACACCGTGCTGGGTGATATTCAATTTTATTTGGCTAGTTCACTTTAAAATAACAAAAACAAAACATAGTTTTTTTAAAAATATTGCTATGTAAAAGAAGCCTATATAATGGTAGGGGTGTATAAGTGAGTGACTTGGACTAGGCCACAAACGGTCATATTTGTAAAGGTGGTTAGATGCCTAAAGATGCAGGTAAGTGCCGACTGGAATTTTCAAAATCACCTGTGCATTGAAATCATTGGGGGTTAGGCACTAAGCTATTGTTGAAAATCTCGCTAGGCGCCTGGTCTGTAAGCATCCAAATACCTTTACAAATGTGGCTCTTACTTTCTCTACTCCAGATGTGTAAAACTGGAATAATACTGCTTTACTTACCACAAAGGTGTTATGCACTTTAACGCTTTTTAAGATAATTACATAGAAGGTGCTATTATAAATACAAAGTAATAGCAGAATTATATAGCAGGAAAGAAGCAAAAAAGTGGAAAATGTAAGTTACCATGAATCCATTTACAGACTTACTGACAAGTACTATGTGGGGTAAATGTAACATTTATTTATTGTTTTAATGTAATGAAATACATAAAATGGAATCTCTTTCCTGGAAACTGCCCCAGTTAGGGACATGTTATTTCTCAAGATGTCAATTAAGTAATCTTACCGTACTTTATTCTACATTTCTCTAGAATTTTCTTTGAATTTACTGTGCTATGATATTTAAATTTTGTGAACTAAATCTGTATATTGTGTGATACAGCATGGCCAGAGGGGAGCAAGAGAGTGTAAGAAGGGAGCCTTATTCCCTGTAGAGGGAAGAAAGTTTGCTATAGATTAATTAAAGCACCTGAAGCCAGTCACCTGATTTAAAAAAAACCCTGCTTCAATCGGACAGGAGGAGGATTTGAAGCAGAGTGGATTGGGGTTGGCGCAGAGAGCAGTTTGGAGGGAAGCAGAGGAGAGTTTGGAGAAATGCTGCTGTGGGCTAAGAAGACCAAGACCCTAGGTAAAGGGACACCTGGTTTGTGCAGAGGGAGGGCAGGAAGCCCCACAAGCTGAAGGGCAGGAGAGGAAAGTAGTCCAGGGGAAGGAACCACTAGTTCAAGTGGTTTACCGCTATCCCTAGGGCCCCTGAGCTGGGACCCGGAGTAGAGGATGGGCCCGGGTCCCTCCCTCTCCACTCCCCCCCTCCAGGACAGTAGTGGGGCAGTTAATACCCCAGTTCAGGGGCAAGAAACGGTGCCCTGAACCGCGCGCCCCCCCCTCCCCAAGAAAAAGCGCAAGACCCATCATAGTAGCGCCGGCAATTTGCCACAATTGATATACAGTATTCTGAAATATTTGTGCACACTAACTAGGAGCATTCAGCTGGGAAGAATTATTGGGAGTCTGAAGGGTAGGCTGAGAGATGAAGGAGGAGCTTGGATGGACATGTGAGCCTCTAATGAATGACTGAAATAGATTTATATTAACACTTAGCGGGTAGTACCTATAATAAAAATGTGGAGATTTTATATAGCGTGCTTGGCTTCTTAGAAGAACTAAAATCCACGTTATCCCTTTTCAATGAAATTCAGTAACATTATTGAAGAATGAAAATAAGTGGCATGCTCTTCACCATTAGTCACAATGACCACAGAAAATGCTTTCAGTGACTTTACAACATTGATTTAAACTGTTAAAAGATTCTAGAAAATTTTTATAATGTCATTACTGGTCAAAGCAAAATAAATCACTGTTTATTAGTGACGGAAAATTCAGTGATCTATGAAGTAAATAAGACCTATTTTTCTCCATTTTTCCATCTTTAATTCTGTGCTATTTCTTTTGTCTCATAAAAGAGTAACTGAGAGGTCATTTGTATTTGCGATAAATTAGCTTTATAGGAGTTCACAGTATGAATTCCTTCGTCATCTGCTTCAGCTCTTCCACTGGTAGTACTTTCAGACTTGGAAAACTGAAAGTTACTTCATTATTACCAGTGATACTGCCAACTTCATTACAATAGGTTATAAAATATTGCATTCTCTTGCTGAAACAAATAAAAATTTGCTTCACCACTATATATATATTTTTAAATAGGACACAGAAATAAAACTAGTGCAAAGTGTGGCCAAAACCTTATCAGGTGTTCCTGCACCTGACTTTGGAGCCTATGCACCTGCTTCCCAAGAAAATGTACTTGAAATAAAACGATTAAGAAACCAACTTCAACAGGAATGGAAAATGCTTCGATGTTCAGGTAAGTAATCTGTTTGTAGTTCCGCTTCTTGGTACAGTTAGTATGTTTCTGAAAAGGCTATAAACTTACTAAGGGTTCAGTTGTGTACCATTAAAGTCAATGGGAGTTTTTTCCATTGACTTGAACGGGAGCAGGATCGAGCCCTTAAATGCCTGGTGAGATCTGTCTTCCTGGGGTTCCCATCACTGAAGTAAGAAAGCACTGAATTCAGTACCACTGTGCCTGCATACAACATGGAATGCAGCCACTTCAAGTACTTAACGTTAAGCACTCACATTGAAAAGTAGTTTTCGGATCAAAATATTGTATATTCAGTGAACAATTCAGAGACACACAGGCTCTGAATCTGTTAATCTTTTCAGAATGTGGCTCAGTCTTCTATCACTTATTCACTTGCTTACTATTCTCGCATGAGTAGTCCCACTGAACTTCATAGGGTCTACTCATGTACTCAGAGTTAAGCACATATATAAGTATTTGCAGAATCAGGGTCTGGGTTGGTACAGGACTCTGATTTTAGCAGGGAAATAGGCTTTCAAACTTCTGTATCCAGAAAGCTTCCTCTTAGCCAATACATGTATGTTAGGGATAGGGCACACCATAATAACATTGTGTTATATCCAGCAAGTGGGTGATTATGTTAACACTTTTGCTTATTTATGTCAAGACAGAGAGATCCCACAATTGTCTGCAGAGTAAAACATAGCTTTTGGCAGTAGTGAATATAAAACCTGCCACAAGCAAGATACATGAATATTTGTCTTGGTACAAGCTTAGGAAGTGCCTTCCCACCTATTGGTACCTGGAATGTGGTAAACCAGAGATAAGGAAAGGTACAGAACAACAAGTTAAGAAACTGGTATGAACTGGTGGGTTGGATCTTAGGTAACATATAAAGTGCTTTAACTTGTATAAAGCCATGACATAAAGGTAGTTTTGGGGAAATATCTTTTGAAGTGCACTTACTGGGTAAGGTGAATATGCTGTGAGATAAAAATTGCTTCCTGAAATGTCTCTTGCATATTATACAGTCTCTTGCTTTAGGCAGTAAACTGGCTGAGCTTGGTTATTTGGTCTCTTGAATATTTTTAATATGGAACCCAACTGTAGTCAAACACTCTCTACTATATAACTTTTTGTTTTGGAAGGGAGGGGAAAGGGAACAAGTTTAGACAAACAAAATTAAAAATGGGGATACAAACGCCCTCCACCCCCGCCACACGCATACACTCAAAAAAAACCGTGCAGCTGTTCGTGGAAGTAGGTTGAGATCATCTGACCAGTTCCTATAGACGGTAAAAATGTAATCTGGATTTTTGGGATTCTGCTGTGTATCTTGACTAATAATTGCGCTCTTATTTTTTCTCTTTGTAGTAAGGGACTGGATTTCTGGAAGCTGAGGTCACTTGACTACCTTTGGGCTCCATCATTTAACACATTTCATCATGACCGAAGGAAAAAGTGTCACTTTTGGTTGTTTTCTTTTAAATCAATGAACAAAGATTATCAAGATATGGCCACAGCAAGAGCCATTCACAATTGTTTTACGACTATTAAATATTTTTGTTCAAGAACCACATTTTCAGCTAAGAGCTCTTGCTGTGTGTCCGCAAAAGCGTTCATGTATCAAGTTGTGCATGCAAAACCTGCATTTGCTTGTAACTGCCTGCCAAATTATGGACCCAGTCCTGCAAACATGTATAGGTGTATCTTTTCATGCATAGAATCATAGATGTGTAGAAGTGGAAGGGACCTTGAGTGGTCATCTAGTCCAGTCTCCTACACTCAAGGCAGGACTAAGTATTATCTAGACAAGGGGTAGTCAGTAGGTGGACCATGGGCCAAATCTGGATCGCCAGATGCTTTTGAGCATACCCCGAAATCTTTTTATGTACGTATTATTATTATTATTTTATTTTATTTTCTCTGGAGTCTGGACCTTGACTATATCTTGACCAAGAAATTTGGACCTTGACAAAAAATAATTGACTACCCCAATCTAGACCATCCCTGACAGGTCTAGCCTGCTCTTAAAAACCTCCAATAAGAGAGATTCCACATGAATGGTCCTATGTAACTCAATGAGACTGCTTATGTGTATAAGTGTTTGCAGGATTGGGCCTATGTGATTTATGAGTGCAAAGATGAGTTTTGCACATGCAGTAAGCTGAGTGTATATGAATTGTGAAGCTGACTGGAAACTTGGGCCCAAGAGGAGAGCAGGGAGAAAATGAGTGGTCATAATACAGTAATTGAGGAGTTTTCTGAATTACTCCAAAGTATGAACAAATACTCTGCACTGCCTTCCAGCAACATGTATCAAACACATTTAATTCTGAATTAAACTTTTTATTGACAGTCCTCCAGCCTCCTTTTATCATCCACTAATCTCCTATTGCAAGCTTCCATCTTACTTTCCATGGACTAGATGCTGGTACCCAGGTTGAATTGCAAAATAATTTCACTTAGGTCAATGGGACTACTCATGGAGTAAGGTTATCATAACCTGACCATATGTTAGTAGTCACCATTCCCTACAACTCCCCCCGCACAAACATAGCCACACTTTCTCTTGTTTCTTAATTTTTTTTGATCAACAGTTATCTGCCTAGCTATTTCCAGGAAATAATTTTAAAAGAAAAACACTTGGGGGCATATTATATTTTGAAAATATGCATCTGGTGTTAATGTTTAATATCCTGACATATACAGCATTCTTTTATTCTTTATATTACTTTATTCAATTTATTCAGGCAAGGAGCCAGGAACTCCTGAGTTATCTTCCCTTTGTTAGTGGCTTCTTCTGTGGCTTTTGATAGTTCTCTGGCCAGTCTCTGCCTCAGTTTCTCCAGCTGTAAAATGTAATAGTCCTCCCCTCCCAGGATTAAATAGTTCATTTCTGTGAAGTGCTTTGTAGCTGAAAAGCACAATATAAGCACTAAGCAGTATTATTAAATGGAATGGTTTGAATAGCTAACACTGAAGTAGGCTCTGTTTTGTTTCTTTTGGGATATTTACGTAGGTGGTAGCAAGGTGAGCTGAGAAGTGTTTTGATTTGTTGATGTACTTCATTTTGTATGACAGATTTCTATAGTAGGAGGGATGAGCTGGAGTGCCAATGAGAAGCGCAGTCAGGAAAGTAACAAATACTTTCCTCATGGACTGTATTTTCTAAATGGACAACTAACCTGATTCTCAATTACTGGGGGACAATCTCCACTCATTGACCTATTTTTGCTTTCCACAACCAAATCTCTGCACAACTTTTCATGAGTGATGTACCCAAGTATTCGGACTCTAGATTTTAACAATACAGTTGAGATGATATTCACCTAAATCTGGGTTATTGCTGATCATGTACTCTATGTATCATATGACTTTTAAAAAAAACCCTAATTTTGTATTTGTGGATAATCTAAGCACTATACCCAGATGTACAGACACTCTTCTCCCAACCTATGTGTTATATAACTTTAACATTAGCTTTAATAAAAATTGTCAATCTATTGGTGCTGTTAAGGCTCAGCAAGGATTGATTAGGCATAGAGACTGGACTGAACCTACACTGCAGTTCATGCAGATGCACCTGTGCTAGGTGCAATCTAACTAGCTTGCTAAAATGAGCAGTGAGGACATACCAATGCAAGTTTCGGGCGGTCTACCAATGCAAGTACGTACCCAGTGGGGCCAGGTGGGCTTGTACAGCCTGCACTGAAGCCCATGCCCCCATGTCCTCACTGCTATTTTAGCTATATTACAGCTAGTGCTGGTACATCTACATGAGCTGCAAATTACACCCCTGGATATCAATGTAGATGTAGCCTTAGAAGCAGTCCCGTCCAGGTCAGGCTTGAAGCACTGCTCTGCAAGCGTTGTACATGTTCAGTGGACTTTTCAGGCCAGCCTCTTTCATGAGCAGAAAGTTCCCCATACAACGAAGATTAAAAATAAAAAAGGCAGGGAGTGTTGCAGTGCTAGAGTAATATGCCCTCCCTAATGTAACTAAAGTTAATGTATAGATTCTGAAGCCAGAAGGGACCACTGAGATTATGGAGTCTGACCCCAGCACACACACATAACAGGCCACAAAATAATCCCTGTTTTGAACTAAAGTGTATTTTTTAGAAAAACATCCAATCTTGATTTTATGATTTCCAATGATGGAGAATCCACTACAATCTTTGGTAAATTGTTCCAATTATTAATTACCCTCACTATTAAAAATTTATATTTTATTTCTAGTGAAGGCCTAGGGCACTGGGATTAATAGCTTTGTTGCTTCTGAACACTCCAGGAATGTTTTGGCAGAATACACCTGCTGTGTCGTTAAATGTGGCTACCAACCTTGCATTCCACTGTTTTCAATGGAATGTTAATGGGCAAACCCCTGCATAGCAGGGAACAATCAGCTACAACAGTAGTGCTTCTTGATCAGCGTTGGTGGGGAATTAGTCCCAGATACAGCATTGTTTTTGCTTATTATTTTGTTGCTTTTAAATGCATGTTCTGCTAGGGATGTCATTTACCATATGAATTCTCTTGATATACCCAGCAACTTTCTACATGAATTCCAAGGTTTGAATACTGTAAATTCTTTGTAGCTAGCTCATATTGAAACATGCATAATTTTAAAAGTACTTTATTCACAGGGACTTTGTTCTTCACTCTCCCAACTAATACTGGAAATTAGTAGGGTCTGTAAATGTTAAATGCAAGATTTAATTAAAAGAAGAAATATCATATTTAAAAATAGAGCACTTTAACTACTAACATCAATTTTAAATGTTCCAAGCAATGGAGAGATTGTATATTTCCTGTATATAGAAATATTAATATTTTATCATGATAAAGCAAGATGAACAAGGTGAATATTTGAAAATGAATAAGAATAGCCTACTTGTTTATCTGGTGACATAGTTCAGTTCTCAGCTTCAAAAGTAATGCTTCTAGCACAATGAGATCAGAGTATTAATTCCAGGTTCTAATACAAAACAGTGTCTTTTTACTTATCTCTACCAAGTCCATTCCTGTCACTTTGATTGAAATAAATGGTAGATATTTTTTTCATGATCTTCATCCTTAAAACACATATACTTACATGGTTAACTTGCTCAAGTCAAAGGTAAAGTTATCAAAAGCACCTAAGATGAGCCACAGAAGGAGGAGCCTAGCCAGCCATGGGAGCCCCAGCAACTTTGGTCCCTGCTAAGGAGGAGAGCCCCCAGAGATCCAGTTCTAGCTGTGTGTTATAGAAGTTTTGCCAAATCTGCAGCAGATTTAAGAAAATATTTTGGTCCAGTGCCTCAGCCTTTACTGAAAATTTCTGACTAGCTCTACTCATAAGTTACTTAAGCTCCTACATCACATTTAAAGTCGGTGAGACTGAGGCTTCTAAGTGACTTTAGATGCTTTTGAAAATTTTACCTAAAGTGACTACTTGCATGCTTAAAATTTGAGCATGTGCATGTGTTTGCAAGATTGGGGCCCATATGGGGATATATCACTTAACAGTACTTATGTCCTAAACAATCTGAATATCACAACTTTAAATTGCAGTAGAATTCTATTAAGAGAGGTCTTCTATGGCTATTCCTATTTTAGATTTTCTAGCTCATACTGACTTTTGACTTGAGGTGGGCAGGAAAAGGTTTTCCCATTCTGCAAGAATTTTTGAGATTTTGAAAACTTTTACTGTCCCAAATTGGGATGAAATGTCAACACCTCAAATTCTCATGAACCAAAACATTCAAATCAGGTGAAAAATTTGTTTTAAATTGGAAAATTGAATTTTTTGTGTCGGGGACATTTTGACAATTTCAAAACGAATTTTACCAACAGTAAAAAAATTTTGAATTTGTCTAAACCAACCCTTTCCTGCAAAATGTTTGTTTCAAATGATCAGCATTTTCTGATGGGGAAAAAACATTTTGAAAAATTCCCAACAAGGTCTACTTTTGACCTGCCTTCATTAGATTGTAATATTCTATAGCCGATCCTTGAATCCAAGATTGTAGTATTTTTAATATAAATTATTAGGTTCTTGAGCTCTTGATCAAATTAAATGGAAGATTTTCCAGTATATTTTTTCAGTAGGATTACTTTGCAGGTAATGTCAGAAGATTGTTTCTAAGGTTGATATGTATTAGAAAGCCAACTATTATAATATACAATAAAATGATGGCATTCTTTGCTATAACTTTGTCTACACAAAAATATATTGGAAGAGTAAATGCTAAAAAGTGTGATGCAACAATAGCAATCAGCCTAAAAATAAACCACCAACCTTAGTTTGAAAGGAAAATCCAATTTGGGGTATTGGTTTCAAATTATCAGTAAGGTGAACCAAAACAACAGACAGAGTTCTTCAAAGCACTTTACCGTAACTAGCGGTGGATATGAGAGGGGCACCTAAAAAGAGGCAGCGTAGTCTAAGGCAGGGTTCTCAACCTTTTTCTTTCTAACTATTGAAAACTCCACTACCCACCGGTGCCACAACAACTGTTTTTTCTGCGTATAAAAGCCAGGGCCAGAGTTAGAGGGTACAAGGAAGGCAGCTGACCGGGACCCCACATCATAGGGGGCAAGGTGAAGCTAAATTGCTCAGGCTTTGGCCCTGGTCCCAGGTGGTGGGGCTTGAGGGCCCAGACTGCAGTCCTACATGGCAGGATTTTGGCTTACTGCCCTGGGCCCTAGCGAGTCTAATGCCAGCCATGTTTGGCGGACCTCCTGGAACTGCTCGTGGTCCCTCAGGAGGCCCAAGACCCCTGGTTGAGAACCACTGGTCTAATGGATAAGCCTACTCCTGGGGGAATTCTGCACCAAAAAATTAAAAATTCTGCAACAAAAATTTTTAAAATTCTGTACACAATACTTTCAAATTCTGCATATTTTATTTGACAAAGTAACAATATATCACACCAGTTTCAATTATTTTTAGTCATTTATTTCAAAATACCTGTCAGCAAGTATGTCTGTAACAATACAGACAACAAAAAAGATTCAGAATTATTTTGACAAATAGATTCCTTACTAGGCATATTAATACAGAACTCTGAGTAATAATTCATTTAAACTACAATACAGAACCATATTTCCCGCACCCCCAGAAGCAGTGCAAAGTCTGGGAGGAGTCAGGGGTAATGGAGGAGCAAAACTTGGAGGGTTGGTGGGTGTGGATGGGAAAAGTATGGAACAGGTATTTTGAGGGTAGGGGTGGGGAGGGACTGTTAGGGAGCTTCCCCCATGCAGACCCTGGCTGTCCCCTAGACTCTCCCATTCAGTCAGGCACATGTGTCCCTCCACCTCCACTCAGATACCCACTCCCCCCATCCCCATGTGGCCCCGCACCCCCTCCCCATCCTCATGTGTGTTTGTGCCCCTACTCAGACACCCTCAGTTCCTATGTTGCTCTGCACTCCCTCCCCCATTACCATGTGGCCATGCATTTCCCTTCCCACTATGGCCCTATGCCTCCACTCCAATTCAGCCCCGGCCCTAGTCTGTCCTCCCCTACTAGCCCTCATGAGCCCCTATCTGACCCCCGTCAGCACTCCACGCTGTCTCCCCATAACCGCTATCTCCTGACCTGGCCCGCTGCGTAGAAGCCTCTGCAGGCTCTTTCTCTTCCCTAGCTTGCTGGGAGCTACTGATTTGTTCTATCACCCTCTGGTGGGCAAAAGGTAGCACTGCAGAAGTTATTTTCTGCTAGGAGCTGCTGCTGCGTTCTGTCACCACAGTGTCCTCTGGTGGGCAAAAGGTGGAACTGCAGCAATTTTTCAGCAGAGCCCTTCTTCTGCACAAAAAATTAAAATTATGCACAGCTAACTAATTATGCACATGTGTAGTGGCACAGAATTCCCCCAGGAGTAAAAAGGACTAGGAGCCAGAACTCATCAGTTCTATTCCAAAGTGCTACACTCTGTTGCCTTAATACTACTTAACATATACAGCATATCTCATCCAAGGATTCAAAAATATTTTACAAATATTCTTTACGCCTTGTATTCCCTGTACCATGACATAAATATCACTGTTCCCATTGTTCAGGTGGCAAAATTTGAAGCTCAGAGAGATTTAAGTGTCTTGCCAAAAGCTACAAAGTGAGTGAGTGGTAACGCTACGATTAGAACTCAAGTTGCCTGACTGTCCCGTATCTAATCAATTGAGAGACTTAAACTGTGTCCCATGCAACTCACTTAATTCCTCTATTCCTATTTGTGTGTATATAAAACAGGGATAACTTATTGATCTTGTGCTTTGAAAACATAAAGTAATGTAAAATTATTATTATTACTGGGGCAGATCCAAGAACAGCACTACAAATAGACAAGTAAACATTTCTCCCTTCATCTTAGCTCTGCTGTCTCCAAAAGCCAGCAAAATCTTAGCTTGGCAGACCCAAACTGAACAGAGCAGGAGAAGCTTGTTAACGATGATGCTGAATTCAGTTTTCAGTGGACCAAAATATGGCAACCCTTGAACTACTGCCTAGTGTGATACGCGAAAGCCCATGTTGTACATGAATGTGTTGCAGAGCTCCTCTTAAAATTAAGTTGCTCAAAGCCAAAGAAAATTCCCAGACACAAAATGTTGACCTGCAGTTAGTTGTACAATGTAACTGAAACTTAAGAGGAAAATACCTTTGAGAATTAAGCATCCTTGGGGCTAAATCACTGTTATGAAAATGTTTAGAAAAATCATGTACACAGGTAGCACATACTATCATTTTAATGTACATGCTCATTTTGTAGCTCAGAATCAAGTAACACATATACCTTGTTATAACTTGACACTTTTTTCACTGACAAATACACATAACAAAATGATTATTAAAGATGCAAGTCTTCTGAAGCACTTCTTTCACATATTTGTAGTAAAATCCCACCGGAATAAAATGTTAAAAGAATTCACTAAGATTGTATTATTTTATTTCGGATTCGAACATACCATTTGGCTTTCATGTTACTGAAAGAAACAGGAAAGTCACACAAAATGGCTTATCTTTTATTCCTGGTGTTTCAATGTCTGAAAGCCAGTAAATTCAAAACTGAGGTTACACTTTTTTTTTTTAAGGCATGGAAATGCAGAATGGAGGTAACCGGAACTACTTTACTTTTGTCTGCCCTTCTTTTGCCCTAAATCAAGACAATCATCTGTCTGCAGGTCAAGCAGTTTCAAAACTGTTCCATTGATCTACCCTGACTACTGACAGAGGGAAGAGAGGAGTTTAAATAGTACTTGTGGAGGAATTCTGCACCACTGCATACATGCAGAATTCATGTCCCGCTCAGATTTCTTTGCTTTCCTGCAAAAAAAAAATGAATTTCTAATGGGGAAGCAAAGGGAAACTGCAAGAGTGGTCACGCACCCCTCTTCAGCAGCCTGGGCGCATCATTTCAGGCACCCAGAACAGCCGGCAGAGAGGTAAATCACTGTGGGGGGAGGGGAAGCTGGGGATGCCCCAGCTGGTGGCTCCTACCCTGTACTGGGCTTAGCTGCTATTCCCAGCTGGGCTGGGGAGGACAAGACTTCCTCTTCCCCTGCAAGGAGTGATGGGGTTTGTGTGAGACCCACCCCCAGAAACCTCCCCTGGCTGCAGGAAGCTCTTCCCCCTTCCTGCCCCCATCACTCCTCAGCCATGGGAGGAGAGGTCACTGAGGATGGGGAGCTGCTCACCCAACTCCTATGTATCTGGACCCCCCATACCCAGACTCCCCTGCTGAACCTCACCTCCCCCAGAACTCCCTGCATTCAAACTCCCACCCTGCCATGCCTCACCCCCTGCATCTGGAGCCCCTCCGCACCCAGACACTTCCCGCCGAGCCACAACCCCCTACACTCAGACCCCTATCTGCTGAGCCCCATCCCGTGATGAGCTCCGGACTCCCTTCACCTGGACCCCCCACCGCATCCCATTGCTCCTGCACCCAGAACCCCACAACAAGCCCCTGTGCATTCAGCTCCTTCCTGCACCTGGGTCCCCCAGTGAGCCATAGAGTAGCCAACTGTCTATTTGCCCAAACCCAAACACCCTTACCCCCCGCCACACCCCTTCCCTGAGGCCATGGCCCTGCCCTGCTCCTTCTCCAAGGCCCTGCCACCCACTCACTCCATCACGTCACTCGCTCTCTGCCACCCTCGCTCACTTTCACCGAGTAGGGGGTTGGGTGCGGGAGGGGGTGCAGGCTCTGGCCTAGGGCCGAGGGGTTCGGAGTGCAGGAGGGGGCTCCAGGCTGAGCCTGGGTCAGAGTGTTGGGATGCAGGAGGCGGTGCGGGATCTGGGAGGGAGTTTGGATGCAGGAGGGGGCTCAGGGCTGGGGCGGGGGTTGGGGTACAGGAGGGGGTGAGGGCTCTGTCTGGGCAACACTTACCTCAGGTGGCTCCCGGAAGCGACCAGCACGTCCGGCTCCTAAACTCAGAGGCAGCCAGGGAGCTCTGTGCACTGCCCCTGCCTGCAGGCACCATCCCCGCAGCTCCCATTGGCTGTAGTTCCTGGCCAATGGGAGCTGCACAGTTGGTGCTCAGGGCAGAGCCTCTGTGCCTAGGAACCAGAGGAATATGCTGGTTGCTTCCGGGACCACGTGAAGCCAGGGTAGTTAGGGAGCCTGCGTTAGTCCCACTGTGCTGAGGACCGGACTTTTAGTGGCCTATTAAAATCTCCTGGATTGGTTTCAGTAGCCAACAGGAGATCGATTCTGATTCCGGGAGACTCCTGGCCAATCTGGAAGAGTTGGCAACCCTACTGAGCCGCCTGCATCCAGACTGCCCCATACAGAACCCTCTCCCCCCCACCTGGATGCCCCCACACTTGGATCCTGCTGGGCTGAGCCTGCCTACCCACACCTGGTGCAGAGGGGCAGGATCCCGGGGTGTTTCTGGGGCAGGCCTGGCCCTTGCACTGTGTCAGGGTTGGGTGTAGTCTCTGTGCCTGTGGGGGGTCCTGCAGGGTGATCTCCCATCTCCGTGCAGCCAGTGGCTTGTGCTCCCCACTGCCATGCTAGAGTAGGGTTGCCTGGTGTACGGTTTTCAACTGGAAAGTTTGGCTGAATGTCCAGTTAGCACTGTTGAGCGGACACTAAGTCTGGTTATCTGCAGTAACTGGCATCTGGGGGCGAGTAACGTGGGGCGAGGATGCAGGAGAAGAGCAGCAGCTGCTAGAGCCTGAAGGAGCACCAAGGAACGGCTCCCTCCCGAGGAGAGAGGTACCGGTGGGTCCCGCTCCTCAGTGATGAGCTGCCAAAATCTTAACAACCGGTTCCCTCCTCACCCCACGGAGGGGGTTGTGGCCCGCCCCATCCCCCAGGACGCCTGCCCCATCCACCCCCCTCCCCTGTGCCCTGACTGCCCCCAGAACGGGGCAGGAGGGTCTCATGGGCCACCGTAGTGGGTGCCCACCCCACTCCTAAGAGCCAGAGGGACCTGCTGGGGGGCGAGATGGGGAGTCCTGGTGGTGCTTACCTGGGGCGACTCCCAGGAAGCATCCAGCAGGTCCCTCTGGCTCCTAGGGGCAGGGTAGCGTAACTAGTGGGGGAGCAGGGGAAGCGGCCGCTCCCCACACTGATCACGTCAAAAGTGGCAACTTAGGCACCAACTCTGTGGGTGCTCCGGGGCTGGAACGCACCCACGGGGAAAATTTGGTGGGTGCAGAGCACCCACCGGCAGCTCCCAGCCCCGCGCCCGGCCCCAGCTCACCTCCACTTCGCCTTCGCCTCCTCACCTGAACGTGCCGCCCCGCTCTGCTTCGCTGCCCCTCCTCCCCCCGCTTCCCACGAATCAGCTGTTCGCACCAGAAGCCTGAGGGCTGAGAAACAGGCGGCGACTTCGCGTTCAGGCCCAGGGAGGTGGGGGCGAGCTGGGGTGGGGAGTGGTTCCCCTGTGCGGCCCTCCTCGTGCCCCCCCCCCAGCTCACCTCCACTCCGCCTCCGTGGGCCTGAGCACGACTTGCTTCTCAGCCCCCCCAGGCTTCCAGTGCGAACAGCTGATTCGCGGGAACTGGGGGCGGAGAAGCAGAGCGGGACACCGCATTCAGGGGAGCAGGCAGAGCGGAGGTGAGGTGATCTGGGGCCAGGCAGGGAGCTGCCGGTGGGTGCTCTGCACCCACCAAATTTTCCCCATGGGTGCTCCAGGGCTGGAGCACCCACCGAGTCAGCGCCAAAGGTGCCACTTTTGGCCAGTTGTTAAATTTAGAAGCCCCTTTAGCACCGGCTGTCCCACACTGGTTGTCCCAGGACCGGTTCTAAAAAGGCTTCTAAATTTAACAACCGGTTCCAGCAAACCAGCTTCAGCTCACCACTGCCTCTCCTCCACCCTGCCCCACTCACCCCTCTGCCCTCGGACCATGCCTGCCCCCACCCCCGTCCTGCCCCAGTCTCCCATCTACTCCTGCAGCCCCGGATCAACAGGCAGTGGGAGGGAGCTGGGGAGAGCGGGGGGAGCCTCAAGAGAAAGAGGCGGAGCAAGGAGAGAGCCTGGTGCTCAGTATCCGGTGCATCAGTGTCCTGGTGCTCAGTATCCCCCCGGACGGAGCAAACACCAGGTTGATCTGGAACGGGCCTGTCAATGCAAAACCACCCCGCCTTTCGCAGCGACCTTCAATACTCCCCACAATCACCAGCACCCACAAACCGCCCAACCCCAAGGGGCGGCTTTACGAGCCCCTTCCCGCGCTGCCCCCTTAACCCCTTCTTCTCTCCCCCCTCAGTGCACCCGCTGGGCGAGCCCCGCCCCCTCTGCCGTCCCCTCCCCCTTCTGTGAGCCCCGCCCCGCAGCAGCCCCAGGCCCCTCTTCCGGTTCCTACGCCCACGAGCCGCGTCCCCCAGCCCTGCTTCCCCCGCCCCTGGCTGCCGGGCCCCGTCGCTCTCCCGTGACGTCCCAATGGCGGCGCCCGAGCGCGGGGCCGCTGGCTGCTCTGGGGCTGGAGCGGCTGGTGGGCCCGCGGGAGCGCGCAGCCCTGAGAGGCGCCTGGGGCTGCTCAGCGCGGGGTAGGGCCAGGGGGATCTACCCCTGGGCATTGGGATGGGCGGCCCCAGGCCTGGCGGGAGGGGGCTGGGGGCTGTCCCGACTCTTGGTGGGGGCTGCCTCGGGTATTGTGGAGGGGCTGGGGGGGGGGGGTCACCGGGCGAGTACGGGCGTGCTCGGCTGGGACCGGTTACAGTCACTATACGCTTTGAAGGGGACGCGGACTGGTGCAGATCTTTTGGTGGGAGCGGTGGGGACAGGGTGGACTAGGCACTGCTCTTTTTACCTTTGTGTGCCCCTGGGGACAGGGTGGACTAGGCACTGCCCCTGCTTTTAGCAGCTCTTGACTACTTGCCCTGTCTACACTAGCACTCGAACTATTACTATCACCAGAATAATTTTGATCTCACACTCTTTTTGCACTGTATTGTTTGAACTCCTAGTATAAATATAGCTGAGTTTGCAGCAGAAAGTTATTTTTGTTAATCAAGTTATTAGTGGGAAATATCCTGAAAAAAGTTAGTATTGACATGTGGATGTGTTAGTGCTTGACAGTGAGACACTCCTCTACCATGGTAACCTGTGTTCATTCAAGTACCAGGCAATCTGTGTTCGTTCATGTACCACGGCAGGCTTTTTATCTATGGTGTAACCTGTCCTCTTTATATATAAAAAAAAGTGTGAGATCAAGTGTGTGTGTGTGTGTATATATGAAACAGAGGTTATGATGTAGCGGTTTGGCTTTATCTGTAGCGCTGCACATATTGGGCTAACTCTATTTTAAATTTAAGTACATTAATACATACTTCCAGAGGTTCTACATGTGTGATTAGTCACTAATGTCTCTTTTTTTTTCTTTGTATTTTCCAGGTCTTGAAATGGAATCAAAGACCAAACATACAGTTATATTTGCAATGAATTAACTTTACCACTTATTTGTGTTGAAATGGAGAGCATTACACAGTTGTTTAGTGACTTGTGTGAAGCGCACATGACAGGTTTGTCATGGAAGGTCCATCTGGGCAGACAGAAGATCAGCAAGAAAAGGGCTAAGCAAAATCTAAAAAGGATTGCGTATAATGCCCTGTTCATGAATCTTTTTCAAGAGGAGGCCCGTAAAGTGCAGTCAAACATTTCCAGACTTCCAGTGAAAAACAAAATTTTAATGCTGTCCTTCAACTTGAGAGTTGGCGGAATGGGCGCTCAAGCAGATAGGCTGGAGAAACTCGTGGAGGAACTGGAAACATCTGATTGCTTACCATTTACGGAAATTAATTCTATTCTGGATCTTCTAGTACAGCTTGTAGGAACTGGTCCTCCTCAGCTTCTACCACAAAAAAAGGACTATTTTCTGAACAACAAGTATGTTGGGAGAAATGTTAAATATCAGGGTTATGATTATTATGATGTGAGTGTATTTGAAGCTGATATACAGACTTTAATTACAAATGAAGAGTATCAGTTTAATGACACAATTCAAAAGACAGTTCAGATAATGGAGGCTGCACCCGGCACTGGACTTCCTGCCATCGGATTATTTTCACAGAACTACCCTGTTGGTGACAAGTTTGAGAAGGAAACACGTGTCTCACTCTTTGGTGCTCTTGTCCATAGCCGTACATATGACATGGACATCAGGTTGGATCTGCCACCAGTACCTGACAATGCGGATTTGTCTGGACTTGCGATTAAAGTATGGTGTCAATTTATTTTCACTATACTTATTATTTTACTTCAGAGTATATACATACTTCCAATATGCCTTTTTGAAACTTTTTTTTTTAATACTACTGTACGAAATGGCTGTTTATCAGCATTACAAAGGTGTGGATTTAAAACATTTGCTTACATCATTCCCTGCTCATAATGTTTAATTTGCATGTGAGCATCCCTCTTTACATCTCTGTTCTAGTATCCAGTTGACCAGGTTGCAGGTTTTTTTAATTGGAGCCCTTCTTGAGATGGTTTTATGTAGCTCTCCGCTACATGCAACCTTTCACTAAGCAAAGTTTCCACTATCTCTTTTTTGGTATCATTTTTCTCTTTCGTCCTGTATTGTTATATAGCACTGATAAGAACTGCAGAAGAAGCTAGATTAACAGATTTGATTTTTTTTTCTTTCTGACTATGGGTATCTTTTGCTTTTTCTGTTTTTAATCTTTCTTTTTTCTTATTTTATTGTTGCCCCTGTAATTCTCCCATTTAAAAGAGAAGGCTACATGCTACTTAGGGTGAAGATGGTCCAGTAGCACAGGGTTAGCCAACCTATGGCACGTGTGCCAAAGGCGTCACACAAGCTAATTTTCAGTGGCATTCCGGGGGGCTCTGCATTTTAATTTAATTTTAAATGAAGCTTCTTAAACATTTTAAAAACTTTATTTATTTTACATACAACAATAGTTTAGTTATATATTAAAGACTTCTAGAAAGAGACCTTCTAAAAATGTTAAAATATATTACTGGCACGCGAAACCTTAAATTAGAGTGAATAAATGAAGACTCAGCACACCACTTCTGAAAGGTTGCTGACCCCTGCAGTAGCAGTTTCTTTTGCCTTGGATGTGTATGCTTTTGCTACTGAGCTGAGTTTGGTGGGAGCAGAGGCATGGGCTAGCACAGTGGAGGGCAACCTGCGGCCCACCAGGGAAATCCGCTGGTGGGCTGCGAGACAGTTTGTTTACATTTTCAGGAAGCAGCAAGGGCTGCAGGGACGTGCTGGCCGCCGCTTCCCACAGCTCCCATTGGTTGGGAACAGCGAACCACGGCCACTGGGAGCTGCGGGCGGCTGTGCAAATGTAAACAAACTGTCTTGTGGACCACCAGCGGATTACCCTGAAGGGGCCGCAGGTTGCCCACCACTGGGGTAGCAGGTTGCTGGCTGAATCTGTAGCCCTATACACGGTAATTGCAGATTCAGCTTTCATTAGGGTTTATGACAGGAACATGGAAGGAAGGCTGGCATGCTTAAAGGAGCTGTATGCCACTTTACCTGTATCTGTGTATGCACGTTGTAGTTAAAGGGGTGAGTCAGATCCTGGGTCAAGGAAGCAACTCTTTTTCTTTACATGCCTGTACCCCTTCTATCAGGTTGGAAAACACTGTATTAAATGTTCTTAGGAGCAATCTGCGTCCAATCAATTTGACCTATTACACAGATTTGGGGTATTACACTGCACACCAAGCTCCCAACAAAGTCAGTGGAGTTCCATGGTTGGGATGTTTAGAGGCCCTGATCCTGCAAACCCGTGCCTGATTTTATGCACATGAGTAGTCCTAGTGAAAACAGTGGAACTGGTCATGGACACTTTAATCACATGCATAAGAATTTGTGCGGTCAGGGCCTTATTATAAGTCATTTATTTTGTGAAAAAGAAAAACAAAACAGGTTTATTGTTCTGGAGCATTATGTATTATTGGACATCTAGTTTCTGAACTGACGTTATATTCAGAGTAAAATATTTCCGCATCTAATACTAACATTGTTAATATTTTAGTTTGATTATTCCATTGGCTACCAAAAAAAAAGGCTTGTCAGAAATTGAAGTGGATTTTATTGTTACAAATAGCAAAGTTTCGGTTTGTATAAATAATAAAGCCTGAGTACTTAAAATGAGTATCTTTGATAAATTGTTAAAGTGAGACCAACAATTAAATGGCATTAGCGTAATATTCCTCAATAAATGTTGCATATATGTGTACAGTTTGAACTCTCATGGTTATTTACAGGTTCCTCAAAGTATAGATCAATCAGAAGATGAGGGATTCCAGTCAGCATCCAATCTGACTCCTGATTCACAATCGGAACCCAGCATGACTCCAGACATAGACCTCTGGGATGCCGTACTTACTTATGGACCCAGCAAACGAAGATGCTGGGAAAGAATTGGATGGTATGTGTCTGATGTTAAGATGAAAAAGAATTGTGTGGTTTATATGTATTTTAGTTGGAAGTGACCTTAATTAGAATAAACAAGCTAGGAATATACCATCTGATTTGGAACATGGAGTTCAATATCTTGAGGCTCAGAAGCTTATTTCTGTTCCCTCCGAGCTATGTTTTTGCCAGATAACAGTGTAGTGCTCTATGGCATTTTTCAAGCAGCAGGACAGTTTTCCTTGCTGCCATTTAGATTTTGAGTTTTTAGTGGCATGGACTGTGTCTTCATATATGTGTGACAGAGACTAGCACATAGTGGGTGCTATCGTAATAGACATCAATAACACTTTAGGTCGAGGGAGTATTTCTCATTTTATGAACAGCTATTCTTGTTCTAAGGGGGGAGGAGATTTGCATATGTTAATACAAGTACTTGGAGCTTATAGGATCCCATTTCCTCTTCAAAGCAATTAACAAACATTAACCACAAGTTAGACAAAGTGTCCTCATTTTGCTGATGGGGAAACTGCAACATTTTCAGGGCTATGGAGGAAGCTGGTAACTCCAGTCCAGTGTTCGTTCTGTTTGTGAACAGTTGACACAAATAATCTATCAATAGGAACTCTTGACGTGTATATAATCCCCTTCACCCTATTGACTCATTTCAACCAATAAAATGGCATCATGCAAATTAACAGTAGCATGCTAATTAACAGTTTTAGTTGATTGGTTATGATGGTTGTCATTTTGTCAAATGACAGCATTTAAGAATAACTTAAGCTTTAACATGGCCTTGACTACCCAGTAACAATTATTAATGGTTGATATTTTTAATTTAGCTAATTTCAACCTATTTTCTTCAAATGGAACCTTTGCACAAGGTTTTAATATGAATTATATGGAAAATGTTAAGAGCCTATTTTGTTCCATTATTCAGATCATTTGGGTGAAGAAAAAGACAGGGAATGCTGAATTTCAAAACATGATTATTTTTAAAATATTTGCGCAAGGGAATATAAGGAAGTACTTAATCCAGAAATTGATCTAGAATATTCACTTGTCCTGTGAAAAGCAATTATGCCAAGTCTTGAAACAAAATTCATTAATTACACTGGATAATAGGCTAAACATTAGCTGGAATTACCTATCAGTACGTCCATAATAACTATGTACCCACCGAACCGCTGTGCTGTGGTGGCATTCACAAAACTGTGTAGTCTGGAGGGAGTATTGGTTAGAATGGTAAATATAGGTTTCCTTCTTGCATGAATAAGTAAAAACTTATTCTTTTAACCTTTAAACACTTTAAAAAGGTGTGTGTGTCATTTCCTAAATAAGAGCAAATGCTTATTTTGAGGTCATGTCCAAATAATACTTTTGGATGTCTATCTAAAGAAGAATTGGTGAGACAGCATTAATCATTTTTCCTTCCAAAGGGTGCATCATATTGTGAAAGGTCTAGGTTTAAGTATGTTATGTTTTCAACATGGGTAATGTGCACTTTTAAATTTAGGCAAAACATCAGTGATGTCTTAGCACATGTGTATGAACATGTAAGCTGAACCGGGGTGTGAGAGATTGCATATAGGAGGAAGTGGTTGCAGAGGCACTTAGGAAAATGAAAAAAGAAGAAAAGATTTGGGCCGGTGAAGTACCAGTGCATGTGATGAAGTCATTGGGAAGGGAAGGCATTAAGTATCTTAAAGTTTGTTCAGTTATATTCTTAAGAAAGAGAAAATGCCGGATGAATGGCATAGAAGATTAGTAGTGCCTATTTTTAAATATACAGGAGATATTACACTGTATGCTAATTATCACCCAGTTAAGCTGACATCACATGTTCTAAAAGTATGAGTGAAGATAATTGAAAAGTGTCTGCATGGAGTAGTTGAGATTTGGAAGGGACAGTATGGCTTCATGCCTAGTAGGAGCAGAACTGATGCCATATTTGCACTACAAATCCTCATGGAAGAGTTCAGAGAAAAGAGATGGCAATTGGGTATGGTCTTTGTGGACCCATAGAAGGTGTATGATCATGTACCATGAGAACTATTTTGGTGGATTTTGTAATGGAGAGGTGTCCCAGAATGGTATGTCCATCTAATCGAAGATATGTACGATGGAGTGACTACCGTAGTCAAAACTAAATGGGGCTACGTTAGAGAATTTCCTGTAAGTATTGGCCTACATCAGGGATCAGCACTGATCCTCTTTTTGTTTGCAGTTATAATGGATGTGGAAAGTGAGAATATACAAAGAACTGCTTTGGAAAATGCTGTTCATTGGTGACCTAGTGATATGTGCAGAAGTTTGTGAGATCCTGCAAGTCAATTTTGAATAGTAGCAACGTAGTTTTGAGCAGGCAGGACTTAAAGTGAACATTGATTAGACTGTGGCTATGATAACTGAGGGAGAAGGACTGTCCATAAAGGAAATCACAGAAAGCTTAGAAGAGTGAAATAGTTTAAATACTAGGATCAGTGGTTGCAGATGATGGTGTCCTCCTGAGTGATATCCAGCATAATATTAAAGCTGTGTGATGCAAATGGCAGGAGTAGATCCCAGTTCTCTGTGACAAAACGATGCCAGTAAAGTTAAAAGATAGACTGTATAAAACTGTAATTCGACACATCTTAATGTATGGAACAGAGACTTGATCAGTCGCAAGAAATCAATATGCTTAGAGCCCTTCGCGGATACAAAATTTGTATCTGCATTCGATCCGCAATCTGCAAAAATGATCCGTGGATATAAAGTGGATATCCGCAAATTTGCAGGGCTCTAAATAGGCTCTTCACCATGGAAATGAAGATGTTGACAGAAGCTTGGACGCTCCATGATAGAAAGTGAAATGAGGTTGTAAAGGGCCTAAGGCAGGATGCGCCAATTGAACACAAATTGAGGGAGGCAAGGCTCTGTTGGTATGGGCATATCAGTGGAGACTAGAGAGTTCTATCATCAGCAGAGCTCTTGCAATTGTTGTGGATGGAAGATGACCAAGGAGGAGACAAAGACTCAGTATGTGGACCAGATATCAGCAGAGTACAGTGAGCGCAATCTGTACAAGAGCCTGGCATACAGTCATGAGTTTTGAAAGAAGGCTATAAAAGTTGCTGACCCCGAATAGGCAAGTGGAATGAGAGGAGGAGGAGAAGTGCCGTTTTCACTCATATGTTTTGTTTTAACCCAGTAGTTCTCAACCTGTGGTCTGCAGATCCCTAGGGGTCTGCAGACGATGTCTAGGATTTCCAAAGGGGTTCGTACCTCCATCTGAAATTTTTTTAGAGGACTGCAAATGAAAAAAGGTTGAGAACCACTGTTTTAAAACCACTTATAAGTTTGCCCAGGATCTTTGTAAGAAAGTATCCATTCCAACTCCAGTTCTAAATTGTGCACAGATACGAAAGATGTAATTAAAAGATGCATCCTAGAACACTGGAAAAATCTAGTTCCTTTGCTGTATAAGATATGCTGACTTGTGAATGAACTTGTGCTTAAGTGTTGTGGGGCCAGGTCATGTGTGATTGTTTTCTAATGGCTTCTCAATGCCATTTAGCAATAGTGATTTTTATAATTAAGTTATTACTGGAAGCTGTGGGTAATATATGAACAGTATTTTGAATGTTTTGTTTCTGTGTTTAGATTTCAGATTCTTTTATGCAGGGACATGCCTTTCTGTTTGTTCTGTAAATTCTCTGGAACACATCTGGTGCTGTAAAGATTATCGTAATTAAGAATGGGTTGGTAGTGGAGAGATTTTTAGGTTGTAGTTCAAAACTGGCTCTTGGCAGTTGCCTAGCGTTTTTAACATTTGCGCTGCAGAACTTCACTTACTATTTTAACAAAAGTTATTTGTAACTTCAGCAGTTAATTTGTGTAGGTAATTTTGTGTAAGCAGTGGTAGTCGTCTTCCCTTCCTCTTTGGGAACCCACCCTGGTCTTTTCACTCTTCCTGTCAGGAGTTGGTGCAGACAGGATCTTGGGGTCAAATACATCTATCGCTTTCTTCAAGAATGCCATTTCCTGCATGCTTTTGACAGTTGTCCACACAGCCTCCTTATGCAAATGTTGCATTGTAAATAATCCACAAGGGTAAAACATTTTTAATGACTGTGTAAAGTTCTGAAATGTCTTTATTTTAAAGGAAAGCAGTTGATTTATTCTTGGCTTTTATTGTTTCTGTATTTTTTCTGACACAGCCCACCTGGTAAAAAAGAGGAACCATATCTTACTGAAGCTGGAAGAGAAGCTTTTGACAATTTTTATAGGCTTCGAGAAGGGGAATTAGAACTGTTTAGCAATACCATTCTCCAGCTTCCACAGCTTGTGCTAATGAAAGAATTTGAACTGGTTAAAGATGTTTTGAATGTCCTTATTGGTGTGGTATCTGCTACATTTTCACTTAATCAGGTATGAAAAACTTTTCTAAGAATGATCATGTTCAGTCACATCAGATTTCATGATTTTTGGTAGAGATTTTTGCAAGAGAAATAATTTTTTTGCATTTGAAGTTTTGTGATTCCTATTAGTATAACTTAAAATAATCAGAGAACTCTTTTACTGCAGTTTAAATGTCCAAAACAGTCTCCAGAGGTCTGTACAAGAAAATATGTGAGAAAGTAAATTAATGGATTCCACGAATGCCTTAAAGTGATTAAAATAATGTATAGAGAACTGTTTGGTTAAAAGATTAAGTAACAAGAATTTTTATATACACTTTAATATAATTATGATTTAATTTTCCTCCTAAAATTGTGCTACCTTTTATATCTGTTAATCTTTTTGTCTCAGGTATTTAACTCCAGTCACCATAATAAACTGTAAATCTGTGTGCCATTATTTTACGGGCGTTTTGTTTTCAGGCAGTTTGGGGTGAGGTGGTGTAATTATATAGCACTGAATATATAGTTCTGAAATAACTAACTGGTACTGTCTTCCTTTCTGCACAATTCTAGGCTGCTCAGACATTTGTGATAAAGCAGGGGATATATGTATCTGGAACATCACCTGAGAGCATGAACAATCTCCTGTCAGAAGTTGCTGAATATGGAACATATTACACACGATTGAGTCGCTTCTCTCTTCAGCCAGTCTTAGACTCCCTGTACAACAAAGGGCTTGTATTTCAGGTAATGTACTTGAATGGTGCTTGCCTGCTCAATAGTGTGTTTGTTGTTTCTGTAGAGGAATGATCTAGACATGCTGTTTATTGGGAGGTAAAGGGTGACTGTTTCTCAAGTTCTGCAGTATTGCTAAATATTTGATTAGTAAATATATTAAAAATATAATAGCTCTTTTTTGTAAGTGTAAATGCACTTCACAGTGTAAAAGAAATAAAATGAGGGAAACAGTCCACTTTAATACCTTTTATTAGATCATGTCAGTTTGAAATTGCTTACTGCTTCCTTGTAGATATTAGTTCTCCAAATGTGACTTGGATTAAGCAATGCGATGAATCTTCTGTGTGTGGTGAGGTGTAATTAACTTTGTTGTGGGCAAATAAGTATTCTTTTTTAACCAGAGGGGCAAAGGGAATCTTCTTTGTTTGTAATACACTATTAAAATTAGGTCATTTTTATTTTCATAGTTGTGATACATTCTCTTTTTAAATACTCAGTGTAATTCACATTAATGTTAATAGTGCTGTCCATATGCATGAAAAGGAAACAATCCTGTTATCTTTCAAATACACAACTTTTCTTGTCTTGCCATTGAAACTGGACTTTTTTTTTTTTTTAAGATAACATACCCAAATTAGAATGCAGTAAATGTGTTTTAATGTTAATGTACTGTAATCAGTGTGAACATAAACTGAGCACTAACAGTTTTAAAAGCAGGGTGTTGTCAATGTTTTTTCTTCTACTAGGCATTCACAAGTGGATTGAGGAAGTACCTTCAGTATTACCGAGCATGTGTTTTGTCAACACCTCCCACTTTAAGCCTTCTAACTATCAGTTTTCTCTTCAGAAAATTAGGGCGACAGTTAAGGTAATATTATAATATTAAAGCATTGTAGGACTGAAAAAATGAACACTAAAAAGCCACTACTAGAGAACCCTTCCTATTCAATCTCTGGTGTTCATTTCGTAATATTTTCACAGAAAAAAATCTTTAAATTCCAGAGGCTGGTGGTAGTAATAATACTACCTAGCTCTAATAGTCGTCTTCATCAGTAGATCTCAAAGCACTTTACAGATAAGCTCCTATTATATCTCCCCACTTTTTACAGATGGGGAAATTGTGGCACAAGGAGGTGAAGTGAGTAAGGATATAAGGACTGATAGACTAGATAACTTTAGTATAGATAGTTAGACCTAGAGTCCTGGCCAAATTCCAACTTGAGTCACCATCTGCGTATCTAAATACTTTCTATAGCTTGAATTGGAGAAATGTTCTCCACCTCCCCTCCCTACACCTGTTATAGTTTGATGCTGCAAAATGATAGCCTCATGCCACCCAAGTGTGGCACATTTCATTGATCATTGTAAATGACCTGGGATACTTCTGTCTGAAAGATGTTACATAAATGTAATTTTTTGGTTTAGGTATTTAGCTGAGCTCTGTGGCATAGGAACAACTGTACTGGGGATCAGCAGAGGTTCTGGTGCTTCATTTCCTACGGTGATTATTGATCTTTTTTGGAAACCTATTGTTTTAGTTTTAATATCAGTATATCCGCTTCAAATAAATTGAGTAGGATTTTTTTAAATGTTCAGTGTTGGCCTCTGCTCCCAATAAAGTCAATGGGAGTTTTAGCAAAGAACACTATCAGATCAGTGCTGAATGCTTTTGAAAATTCCACGTAAATGTTGCATGAAATGAGAGAGAGAGAATTCATATACTGATTATAAATTGTTAAATTAATGTTGGATGTCTGTCACTGTTCTGCAAGTGGGTATACAATAGAAACACTTTTATAATATAACACACACAATTTTAAGTATTTTTCTGTTGTATTAGCAAGATAATCCAAGCATTAAAAGCAATGCTCAACAGAAGAAGGCCTGCTACAATCCTTCCTATTTAGCTTTGCCCCTCTGAAAAGTTTCAGTGAATAGATAAGACCTGAAGGTGAACATACGGGCTCAGTCAGACCAAAGAGGAAATGTGAACTTCAGCGTCTGTGGCTTTCCAATGAGAATGCCGTGCCAGCCCCAAATATTTAAATATTGGGACTTTGCCCTAGTGATTTCAATGGATGAGGTAAAGCTCAAAAAAAGTGGACCCTAAGATATTCAGGACCCAAATTAAAGCCTTTTATTAGAGTTCAAAACCAACCCCTTCAATTGTCCCTGGAAACTGGTTGGAAGGTAGTGCAGTCTATCGAGCACTGGTGTAATATGCTGTATCCTTGAAACTCTGCTATGTATGTGGGCTGTTTACACTATTAAAGTTTCTATGGTAAAGAGGTACGGCCCCACATAGAGTATTGCAGAAATTCAGTATATAGAAGTAGTAAATGCAGGGACAATGGTGGTAAGGTGTACATCTGGTAGGTAAGATTACAATCTCGTATTCAAGTAAAGATGAGAAAAGTACTCATGGCTACAGTTGCTATCTGGGTATCCAGAAACAATCCAGGATCCAGAAAGAATCCTGACGATTCCAATAAAACTTTGTCAGTTGAAGGGGGGCATATGTCACCTCTACCATTTCCTCTGGTTGTTGTTGACCCATCCCACCAATATCGTTTCAGTTTTATCCAGACTGAGCCATGACCAAATTGTCTCTGTCTAATAAATAGATGTAAAGATGTGTATATTATGAAACTTTTTTTTACTAATAGTACGATGGATTTTACTGTTTTGAAATGTAGTTGTTTTATCTTTTTTTTTTTTCTTCCAGGGAGTAAGATTGCTTTCATACTTGTACAAAGAGGCTCTCAATAACTGTAGTAATGAACATTACCCAGTTCTTCTGTCATTGTTAAAAACCAGCTGTGAACCATATACCAGGTGGGTTGCAGACTATTTGTTTTATAATTGTGCTTAGCAATGACTGTAATAATAACCTACTGGTTTTCCATTTGGGCATTTTTAATGTAATAACCACTTTGAAGAAGTGGATAACTAGGCTGGTTTAGTTTATAAAGGGCAGACCATTAGCTTGAAGATTTTCAGAGTGGATGTGAATTATTTTTAATGATTTAAGGTGTGGTTCGGCTCTGAAAAGTGACTGCAAAAATGGCATTGTGTGGGTCCATATTTGCTTTCCAATGACTTCCGTAGCAAAACCTTTTTTCTTTTTTTTAACAAATAAAAGGATATTTTTTTCCTAACTGCCAACCCAACAAATTCACTCAGGGATCTGAGACTCAACCAGGGTTCAGTTTCTTTCCTTCTTGTACATCATCACCACCAGTAACAAATATCCTGCAGCTGATATTTAATTACACACAAAACCAGGAGAGATCCCACCTCACTCTCTCATACCTGTGTTGGCTTTTCAATGTTAATAGAAGTTCAAAAGTTGTAAAAACATCTTTTATATCACTAACATAAGCATAGCTGTTGAGTAAGAAGTTGTTATCTTTAATAGAGTCCCTTGGATGTACCAGTTTCTTTAATCAATATCCACACAACTTTGGAAATTGCTTATCTACTTCTATAGCAATGCTACGGAGTGTATAAAATATTAGACATTTTTAGGAACTACAATAGTAATTTAAAAAAATCAATAATAATGGGGCAAGTATAATAAAATTAAACAGGACAAAACAAACCCATCAAGATATTCTGAACTGAAGACTCCACCCACTGCCACCCTTTCCCTATGTTCAGTTCCCAGTCAAATTTTGGGCCTCAGACCTTCTCAGCTGTAAACCTGTTGAAATACTTTATTGTGGCTTCAGTTCTGCAACTTATACCTTGACAGACCGTTGAGTCTTCATTGTGTTTATTGCAGGAGTAGGACAGTAAAGTTATAAGTACATGCATAAAAATTTGCAGGATTAAGGCCTAAATGAGTTTGTAACAAGTCACTATGAGAACATCAATTGTTTAAGCAATAATGGTTGCTATAGAGGTCATTTCCTGCCAGCTGATGTCTGTCTTGAGGATGTTAACCCAGTCATTAATTCATTAACTTCCAGGAAATGTACCACCTGGAAGTTGTTGTTGCTGTTAGAAATCATAAAAATATAAGGATATTAACACACAAGGCCTTATTTTTAATTAGGTTAAAGTTGAACTGCGGTTGCTATGGATACATTTTTCTGTTTACAGTACCAGTCTGTTCCTAGGCATTAGACCTTTACAGTAACCAGTCGAAAAGAAGGACTGGGCTGATGCTGCTATGGGACACTTAATTTCAGTATCTGTAATTTATGATAATTTTGTTTCCTCTGTGCATATAGGGAGGATAACCTTTGATTCACACTGGGGTCAAGAGAGTGTTATCATAAATATATGGAAAAAGGAATATTTTCTCCCAAAATAATAGTTCACGTTTCTCCAGATATATGAAAAGCTGCTCAAGCTCAAAGGAAAAGTTGTCTGAATTTGTGTCCTAGAGTTCTATAGCCTCTCTTCTCCTTCTAAACAAGTTGCATCTAATTAAAATTCTTTCTTCCTCCCCCCTTCCCCATAAAATGTATTCTATCATTATGACAGTGCAAAGGTTTTTATGTATGTCCAGATCAGTATAAAAGACTGTTACTGGAGTTAGAATGATTTTAAACTAAATGTTTGCAGTTAAGATTCTCTAAAAAAGATGCTTCTTATGCCAAAAATGAGGGTTTATATTTTTTGGGAATTAACTGTTGATGTGATTATGCTTAACTTTTATATTTATCCTCAATATGACTTGAAGATTTACCTTTTTGTCATGACTTTGACAAATATGCTGCTGATACAATATTTGCGGCGTGTGCATGCATGCGCACATGTGCATCCATACTGATTGAGATATATATATATGTCAAAGAAAATAATCTGTTATGTGTATTGGTTCAAATAAAATAATTTTAGAAAGGAAAGAGGGACTTAACTCCGTTGTATAATCTTTATTTTTTAGGTTTATCTATGATTGGGTGTACAGTGGTGTATTCAGGGATGTTTATGGCGAATTCATGATTCAAGTGAATGAGGATTATCTTAGCTTCAGAGGTACAGTACATAGATGTAGAACTTCTAGTTTGTTCAGTTTGCATTCTTGTTATCTTTATTAAATACAATATACTTTGATCTTTCTTGTCTTTGATCTATAGATAAACATTACTGGACCCATGGATATATTTTGATTTCAAAAGAAGTAGAAGATTGTGTCCCTGTGTTTCTGAAGCATATTGCCAATGATGTATACATTTGTGGGAAAACCATAAACTTATTGAAATTGTGTTGTCCCAGGGCAAGTACTTGCTTGGTTCTTTTATGTTGCACTACAAAAACAAATTCTTAGCATATGTTGACTGGTTCTGTGGCAAGTAAATTTAAATTTATGCTTTTATTGATAAGTGGCCCTGCCAAGGATGGATGTTGAAGAATGTTATTTAGCTGTTTACATTCAAGTATTCATGACCTCAATATTCCAGTGTAACACAGGTCTTGATAGCTAATTGACAAACTGTGAATGTGCAGAAGCAAGTTTAAAGTACCCTTTGTACAACTTTAGGTTTCATATTTTCCTTTGTGTAAACCCTGAATGTTTTAGGCCTCCAAGCAATTGTTCTCCAACACCCAGACAACACTGACCAAAGCAGGGGGCCCGCTCTCCCTAAAGACCTGAGTTTAGATCATACCTTCCCCCCCTATCATTTTGGCTTTTTTTGCTGCACACTTATTCAGACACACTGTAATAGTTCCACTGTACACATTTTTTGCAAAACAGATCTGTTTGTGGTAGGAAGAATGCTTGAAATAATAAATTTAAAGTTCCCTTTAATTTATACTTTGATCTTTTCATCTGATTTCTAAGATCTTGTCTTTTTAAACCTTTCAGGTCTCAGTCACAGGGTGTAGAAACATGATCCTGTTATATCAGTTCCATTTTCATATCTGGATGTATGTGTTGTACCTAAAGGCAAGCAGTGGCTGTTATCGGACATGTAATGCCATAAGCTATTCAAGAAAGTAATATGATTTAAAATAGACATTTAAACATCTGCAGAATGGCTCAGAACAAGACTCCTCCTAGGAAGTATCTCAAACAGTTGATATATGCATATACAATCATAAAGCCTGATTAGTCATTTAAATTCACAGGCTTTTTTCCCACTATTTAACTGTATAATATTTCTTATTTGTAGCATTACATATGCTGGTCAGATATCCCTGTTCCTCGGATTTCTGTTATTTTTTCCCTTGAGGAGCTGAAAGAGATTGAGAGAGACTGTGCAGTATATGTGGGTCGAATGGAAAGAATTGCCCGTTACAGTTCTATTAGCAAGGAAGAAAAGGTAAATGAATATTAAAGAAGAAATAATTTTATATAATTAGTATATTTAAAGAGAGCTCAGATTTTTCATTTGATTGTATATGTAAAAGTACTGACATTCATGACTATAGTCTTCCTGTGGTGGTCTGCTTGCTTTGTATTGCTGTCTTGGGGGAAAAAAAGACGAACATAATTGCTTTTAGTTTTGTTTAACTGGCATGTCATTATTGTTGACATTTTCATGATTTTTGGAAATAGTTTTGGAGGATGTTCCGCCAGAAATTTGTTGCATCTGCTTTAATCTATTAGGGAAAGGTAATCAAGACCCAACTAATACACTATCAGAGCCTAACTTGTTTATTAACTAATCAGATTGTTCCATTTGTCAAGTCCTTTAAATAATTTGCATGGCTAATTTATTTTAGTAGAACTTCATTACTGTGAGCAGATCATTGTGTTTATAAATTTTAGTATAACCTTAGATTCTACGTTCAGTGATTTGCCTAATTAGGTGTCCCATTTATTAAGTGGGTATAAATCCTGGAAGCCAGCTACCTGAGGACATTATTGCTATGTGTACATGGAATGAAAGCGTGCACTTTAAATTGCAACACTATCTCTTCATGTCTGAAAAGCATAATAAAACTATATATATTTATCTCCTAGGATTTGCGCATGGAGATTGCAAAACAGGAGTTGATTGTTCATGCTCGAGAAACAGCTAGTAAAGTACTAAAAGCCATTAATGGTAAGTTTCAGTGGGGTTTTCATCTAGTGAATTTTTTCTCTGTTTTTTCAGTATGTTGATGTAAAATAACAGTATTTTCAATTTAAATACAGATCAACAAATATCAGAAAGAATGACTTTGGATGCAAGGAAACGGGAACAGTTTCAGAAATTAAAAGAACAGTTTGCAAAAGATCAAGAGGTATTTCTGTGGCTTGATTGCTTTGAGAATTATATTATTTGCTAAAGAAAAACAAATAAATTACAGTTTTACAGTGAAACACCAATTATTATGAAATCTAATCTTAGGAACGGCCAGTTATACAAACCATTTTTCCTGAAGGAAGGGAAAAATCCCTATGCAATAGTGATGTCTGTGAAGAAAAACGCAACATCCCTTCACGTTCCGATGTTTTCAGTGCATTGGAAATCACCTTGCAGTGGTTTGAAGGACAAGAAGAAAGTAATGCAGTGCACCGTACTACAGTTTATGCACAGTACCTACTGTAATTTTGAAATGTTCAATGTTATGACCTCCTCAATCCCCAATTAGTTTATAAAATAAGGGGTTTACTACACATTCTGAAATTGCTCAAACACCTAATGATATATAGTTTTAAAAGCTCTTTAAAATGTGTACATCTGTTTGACTGGGTTGGTGCTGAGAGTGATTTTTTTAAGAGTTCTAAATGTTTATGTAGCGTCGACTTACGATGAAACAGGAGGAGATTGATGATGATTTCAGCTATGCCCGAGAGCTCAGGGAGAGAGAGAAAAGACTGAAAGCCTTAGAAGAGGAACTGGAAAAAAAGGCAAGGTAATGTATAAAGAAACAATATTTGTGGTTAATCTCCCAAAGGTTTCAGATCACATTTTCCCATAAGGTCTGGTTTTAAAAAACAATTAAAATATTGCTCTTCATTTTGGAATCCTATCAATGCTCTAAAGAACAGACAGTCTACACCAATGACATCCAGACTGGTTTTTGTCAAAATCATGGCTTTAGAAAAACTTTAACAACAAAATTTGTGATCAAAAGCTGCCCACACAGCAAAAAAATCGGATGTGTCAGATCAGATTAAAAACCGGTATGGGGGAATTAACGTAGACTTTTTTTTTTGCTTTACTGCTAATGTTAAATGTGGGTTATGATACTTTCCTCTGAGTCTACATGGACCCCGATCTTACTTCAGTGGGGCTCTACTTGGGCCTAGTGTCCACCAAAGTGGATCTGACTGTATGGTCAGAGCCACAGTTTATACATTGGTGAATGCTATTCGATTTTATTTGGACTATGAATAGCTGTCAGAGGTTAAGGGCTGCATTTTAATCATTTAATCAGGCATACATTGATGGTGTCTGAGTATGTAAGGTGAAATGTATATCTCAGTCAGATCCTTTTAATTTGATATATAATCAGCACTCAGATGCAGGTCAGGTATTTCTTGGTAGTTAGTCATTAGCAGGGATCGAGCCTTGGGCTTCACCACATACCTTCAAAATCTCCAGCTGGAAGTGGTGGATTCTCCGTCTCTTGATGTCTTCAGCTCAAGACTGGATGCCTTTGTGGAAGATATGTGTTAGCCAAACACAAGGTACATGGCTCAATACTGGGTAACTGGTTTAAGGGCCTGTTATATATAGGAGGTCAGACTAGATGATCGCTCCAGGGCATACTGTAGCCAGGAGTCATTACTGCTCCCATTAACCATCAAAAGGACTCATAAAAGATATTTATGTGATTAAAAATTAAATTGATGAGGACAGTGCCATGGGTGTGGTGTGGTGTGCTATTTTTAATTGTTTTTCCTTATCAGATAGACTTAAACAGTAATGAGCAGGAAACAAAACACTTTTTCAGTGTTAAAATCGGTTCTAATTAAGGCTGCATGTCTGTCACAGAGGTCACGGAAGTCATGGATTCCATGACTTTTCATGACTTCCGTGACTTTTGCAGCGGCTGGTGTGGCTGGCTCAGGGGTTTTCCGAGCACTCGGGCAGCCCCTGGGCCAGCAGCAGCAGCAGTTTGTGTGTGAGAGGGAGCTCAGGGCTGGGTCAGGGGCTTGGGGCATAGGGCGGCACTTACCCCCGGGGTGGAGGGCAGGGGCTTCTCGGAAGCAGCTGGCATGTCCCTGCAGCTCCTAGGCAGAGGGCCAGTTTGCAGGCACTGCCTCCACAGCTCTCGTTGGCTGCAGTTCCCAGCCAATGGGAGCTGCAGAGCCGGAGCTTGTGGCGGGGGCAGCGCATGGAGTCCCCTGGCCTTCCCTCCCCTTAGGAGCTGCAGGGACATGCTGGATGCTTCTGGGGAGCTGCGTGGAGCTGGGTAGGGAGCCTGCCAGCCCCTCCAACCCCGCCCCTCACTCCAGTAGGGGTCTTGGGCCATGCACTGCTGCCTGGTTCCCCAGCACCGGCAGGGGTCCTGGGCCGCCCAAGTTTTAGTCAGGGATATATAGTACAAGTCATGGACAGGTCACAGACTGTGAATTTTTGTTTACTACCTGTGACCTGTCCATGACTTTTACTAAAAATACCTGTGACTAAAACGCAGCCTTAATTATAATTGATATAAATTCTGCATAGTAATTATAGCTGTTACAAGCTTTGACATTACTTATCAATATATACAGCTAATTGTAATTTTTCTTTGTTTTCTATCATACATTTAAGCACATTTGTTATGAAAAATTAGTCTCCTAATAACATGGTTCTACAAAAACTTATTGACAAAAAATAGCATCCTATTTTCATTACATTTTCTCAACTGGCTTCTGTACTGTGGATGAAACCTCTGGTTTTTAATTTTAAAAATATATAATCTGAGAGATCTATCATTTCCTTGCTCTTCTACACCAGCATATGGTCTCAATGTACAGAGTGCAAGATGAAAAATAAGCAGGTGGAGTGTCTGTAATATAGTATCTTTACTCTCCTTCAGGCAAGAAATAATTGATCATTATAGCAAACTTTCTGATGATGCAGCCCGTAGGGAGCAAAGAGCTTTATGGAAAATCCAGCGGCACAAACTGGAAACAGCCCGTCTCAACTTTCTAGTAGAAGATCAAAAACATATCGAGGTATCTTTTAAATTTTTAAAAGAAATATCATTTGTAGCATTTTAACATTTGATATATTAAAAGCTTTTTGGTTTGCTATTTTGATTTTTAGGAGATGCTTGAAAAACTTCCTAATGGGAAGTACAGGAGGAAATTAGACATTATTCCGCATAAGCAATGCCAAACAGTTTCACTTATGGACGCAGCTGTAGAAGAACCAAGCTCTCAGGTTAGTTTATTTTCTTACAGAAGCATTGCATGACAATTCCAAGTTTTCTAATGTGAGTTTTGTAAATGTTTGATCACTAAACAGAAGAGTCACCATGGCAGAAATGTGAATGAGTATTACAGTATTGTGGTGCTGGCAATAAAAGGGCAGGACTGGAAATAAAATCTTGTTGTGGAAAAATAGTTTAAAATACATACAAACTGTATGTAAATAGCTGAAGAATGCAATAATTATTTGTGTTTTAGGTATCTTCTGTGGAACCTGTGCATTCTGACAATAATGTTGTCAGAGGTGATTCTGAATCTGGACTGAAGAGTGTTACTTCTGCTGAAAAACCATTGGCTTTGTCCCGGCCAGTAAATACTCATATTAATCAACGTCCTGAGCAAGATGCAGCAGGAACTGAATCTCAGTTACTAAGTACAGAACAAACATGGGATCCATCGCAGAGTGCTAATTCTCTGCCTGAATCCAGTCTAAATATTGAGGATTTCCTACCAGAATCACAGGAAGAACAACCTGCTGCCGTTGGCTCTTTACTAGATGAAGGATCTTTACTAGACGAAGCATTTCAAAATATTAGCTCAGAACTTCCTGAAACTACTCAAATAAGTGAAAGTCAGCCTCTTTTGATAGAAGCACTGCAAGGAGAAGGTAATACACAGTTACATCAGCAAAGTGAATATGATTTTAATACAATTCTCAGGCCAGCTGCTGTTTCACAAGGACATGGCAGAGTTGGAGAAAATGTGTTGGTGGAAAGTAGGAGACTTCAGTGGAATATTCATGGACATGTATCCAATGCCAGCTTTAATGTAGGGGAATATGTGCCTTGTGCAGAGACTTCCCAGTCACATTCAAATCCATATGGACATTCTTCAGATTCGCACATAAAGATTGGGGAATATACCTCTGAAGTTGAATCTAGTCGGCCTCGCTGGAATATTCATGGGCATATTTCTGCAGCTCATATTAAAATTGGGGAATATACGTCGGAGGTCGAGTCCTCAAGGCCCAGATGGAATGTTCATGGACATGCCTCAGAAGCCAACATTAAGATTGGTGAGTATGTGTCAAACATAGAGCCTACAAGGCCTCGGTGGAACATCCATGGTCATGCATCTGATGCCAATATCAAGATTGGAGAGAACGTGTCTGAGCCTGTACCATCTAGAGCTCGGTGGAACATCCATGGCCATGCATCTGATGCCAATATCAAGATTGGGGAAAATGTGTCTGAGGCTGTACCATCCAGACCTCGGTGGAATATCCATGGACATGCTTCACAATCACACATTAAAATGGGAGAGCTAGTTTCAGACACTGAACTTTCAAAACCTCGTTGGAGCCCTTTTGGCCATGCATCTCAGTCGAACATTAAAATAGGGGAGTGGTCTCCATCCACAGAAAGTGATCCAATACCTCATAATAAAACCATCTCTGGTCACACATCAGACTCTACAGTTCAGACATTTCAGTGCAATGGAGAGTTTTCTCCCTCTGTTGAAAGTAAGAGAGACAATAAATCATCAGAAGGCAAGGAAGAGGTCTTACCCCAATCACAGTCCTCAGACAGTGTTCCAGTCCTTTCAGATTCTAATATTGAAGGTGAAAAGCAAGAAAACATCACAGAAGAGAGAGAGAAACAAGAAGGTGAGAATAAGACAATCAAACTGTATTCAGTTGGTCAGTAGTTTTTTAGGACCTTATAAAAATTACTATCAAGTGTGTTTGTTCTATCTGGATACTTATGAGTTAATTCATTGAGTATATGGCTAAACACTATTAGAATTTAGAGGTGAGAATTTGCATGTAGTCTTGTCTCCTGTATGAAAAGGGTGAAATATTAGTTAAAATTTTCCACTGGTTTGAAACTTTGCAGACCACTTATAATTCTAGTGTGGTTTTAAATAGCTACTTTGCACTCTGAAATTGAAGAATGTTCTGACAGTACTTTAAATATATTAATGCTAATAGTGTCACTGTGTAATATATGCATGTGAAGCTAAAGTTCCCTGTTTTTCAAGTGCAGTGTAATGGTGGTTTTGTTACAGATTTTGCATTCTTTTGGAATTATGATCAGGTCTGAGATATGATCCGGTGACTATAGGCAGTTCAGCTGTATTTTGTATGTTCATGGGTGGTTTTTTTCTAATACTGTTTCAATTTGTGTTATTACAGTAATTGCAAAAGATGTCAGCAAAGATCTCCCTCCAGAGCTTCCTCAGGGTTCACAGGTAAGGAACACATCATTTCTACATGGGATTTATGAGAAGATCGGCTCTGAGAGAAGGTGTTAGTTATTGTCTGCATTTTCTTAGACAGAGGAACCTGAAAAATCGATTGCCCTGACTGTTACACCTCAAGAAACTTTACTTTCTGAGGCGTGTGCTTCTGAAACTAAAGAGAAGGAAGATGATGATGATGATACGTGGAGGAAAGAACAAGCTTATCTGAAAGCCTTATCAGACCAGTATTGCCTTGAAAAATACCAAGACAGCTATGATTTAATGTGTGAGTAGAACTCTTGAAATGGTAGTTCAGCAAGAATATGTAATGATCTTGAGTGAGAAATCAGGATTTTAGCCTAAGGAAGAGTTCTTAGATGATCTTTATCATCAAAATTATTAAGTACAGGAGCAAAACTATTTTTCTTTGCATAAAAATCTGAAGTCTACGGTAGCATGTTTTTGACTTTTCTAATCTGGAATGACTTTCAGGACATTAATTGAAATAGCTTAAGTATAACAGCATACAATTTTTATGTGTGTTCTTCAATTTAGCAGAGTTGCCAGTTTCCCATCTCTTGCATCATGTGATACCCAGGTCATACACTTTCCCAGTGGATCCTTTGGTACAGTCAGCAACAGATGAAACAGCTGTACAACTAAGTGAGCTTTTATCTTTGCCAGTGCTGATGAAACACTCTATTACTGCTCCACTCGTGTCTCAGTAAGTATTAATTAGGAATAACAAATCCACTTTTATTAACTCAGTTATTTTTTCTTTGCTGGTTATTTTCCCTTGAGACAGAGCTGTACGAAAATCTACTTACTACTACTTCGAGTGCTGGTCCGGTCCCTATGTGTATTCCACACATGTGTACACATGCATGCCATGTGCCTGAGTCTGGAAGTTCTTCAAAGCAGTGTCCCTTGACTCACACATGCGCATTAGCTTCCCTCATGTTCCCAACCAAGGGTATAATAGGTGGCGCGGGTTGATGCCTCTCCAGTTCCTTCTTAACACTGCATGGCTTTGGTTGAAATTGTGTCCTTCATTGTATACTAGATATAAAATCAATATAAAAATAAACTAGATATAAACTAGATATAAAATCAATTTACAATTAGTTTAGTTTACAAGTATAGGGTATAGGATAATTTCCTCCCACCCCTGCCTTTGGGGAAAGTCTTCCCCGGTCTCGGGACTATCCCCAGAGTTCCAGGGTTCAAGAATTGCATCTCCTGCCCTCTCTCCTTCTCTGTCAGTGACTAGCATCAAAGGTGCCTGTATTGCCTGGGTGAAGTACACATCTCTGCAAAGATACAGACATGACACTTGCTTAACCAGTCTGGATCCCACCAGATGAAAGCTTCGTAAAGGGAGGTTACTGCTAATGTGTTTTCCTATGATCCATGTAGTGTCAGTCTTCAGATATGCTAGCAATTCCAATCAAACTATAGTTCTCAGTAGTGGTAGGTTTTAGTTCTGTGTCATCCTGGATATTATCTGTATATAAGGTTTCTCCCATTTTCTTTTGTGCATGTGAATGTCATACAAGCTTTTACATTATGCTAGATACTGAAACGTTAATTTGATAGTAATATCCATGACTGCATTTTAATAGCAAGGAAAGAATTGTTCTTAAGAGTGATTGTCACTTCATGTTTTTATTAGTGTTTCCCTTGTGAACAAAGCGATAGTCGATTACTACTTTGTGGAACTGAACATAGAGAAGCATTTTGAAGCACTAAGACATTTTTTGTTAATGGAAGATGGAGAGTTTGCTCAGTCACTTAGTGACCTACTATTTGAGAAGGTATTTGCTGGCTTGTTTTATAACTCTGGTATTTGGTCATTTGCAATAGGCATGATGTCTGTGAACCTCTAGTATCTCATACAGTGATATTAAGGACTGTTCCCAGCGTTGACATAGGTAGCTAAAAAAAACCAATATGAGTAAGGGTGGTAGAGAAGTGTGGGTTAAAATCCTGTCTGCTATTTTTCCCCTTACCCATTTTGTATCCCCTTGTGCCAAGGCAGCAAATTCTGTAACAGAGGCCCTGCTGAGGCCCTAAGGACTGTGGGCCAAAATGCACCCTCTCTTAGAAATGCCCATGAGAGGAGCTACACGAGGCCCAAGAAACTCTGTAAGAGCAGTATATTTGGCTGATATTCTCCCTGAGAAATGGGGCGGTGGGATTTGGCAGACCGCAGAGGATGCCAGGTGCCTGACCTCTAAACTAAGCAGAACTTGGAGATGTTCAGGGAAGAAAACCCCCTGTCCTGTGAAAGGCTAGATTGTTTGCTCTATTGCTCTGGCCCCTGCTGCCTAATGGCAGCACAGCTGGAGGACACTGTTGCCACTGATTGAGTCCCACCACTCCCCTCCATCACCCTCCCACTTCAAAAATCCCACAGTGCACTGCTGAAGGAGAATTAGGGAGGAGAATATTGGAATCTGCTGCAGAGGTGGCACTTATATGCCCTATTTCTGTGTCCCGGATGAGGTTCACCTGAGTAAGGTCACAGGAAGGATGGTTTGAGCTTATGTCTAGCTATCAGGACATGCATGGGCACAGGATAGTTAACACCAACTCTCTAGAACCTGAGAGCATTTTGGTCACGATTGAGAAAAGTACTTTAGCACATGCTTAACTTTGATCACATGTGAGAAGTTCTGCTGAAGTCAGTGGGGCTGCTTGTGCTTAAATGTTTTGAGTCCGAGTCTTACGCTCACTACTGTCATTTTAATAGTCGCAGGGGGATCAGGATAACATAAATGAAATGTTTAAAACGACATGATGTTTGTTGTTCTTTATTCATTTTGAGACTTGACACCTGCAATTCTGAATTTGCTATGTAATTCTATTTTATATTTTCCATAACAGCAGTTAAGTCTTTGTATTTTGAAAAGTGAATTAGTAAGTTCTCATTTGGATTTTCAACGAATATATTAATTTCATTAGTAAACAGATGTTGGAAAACACATTAAAATTGCTTTAAAGTGCTAAAGGTGAAAATTCAGAGGTTTATTTCACAGTATTAATTTTGATTCTGTCACATTAATGTGTTGATTAGGTTGTTCTGACGTTGATCATCATGGTACTGAGCCAAAAGATTAAGGGCAAAAATTTCAAAAGCAGCCAATTCCCATTTTCAAAAATGAATAAAACACTTGTGGCTAAGCCACTTTTGAAAATGGGACTTAGGTCATTTTAGGTGCTTTTGAAAAATTTACCTTAAAGCAAGAACATGACTTGTATGTCTCTAAAAATTGTGTGTAATTAAGATTTCTTTTTTTCAAGCTTGGTTCAGGGCAAACTCCTGGTGAACTTCTGAATCCACTGGTTCTCAATTCTATCTTAAATAAAGCATTACAGTATAGCCTTCACGGAGACACCCAGCTTGCTTCCAATCTTTCTTTTGCACTCAAGTACCTTCCAGAAATGTTCAAACCCAATGCTCCTGATGCTCTGAACTGCTTGGAGCTACGGTACAAGGTAAGAAAGCATATAGAAAAGATTATTTGAAAGTTTTATACTTTGCTCTTATACCATAATCATTTGAGCATCCATGTTTCTTGTTCTTTGATGTATAGTAATTGATGATTTACTACCTCCTGGAGGAAAAGAGTCAAGAAATTAGGCTAATCTAAGTGAATTTATAGGGTTCACTCATCCTGGGCATTCTATGATGCCATTTATAAATTCATTCAGTTATGTTTCAGCAGCCTGTAGTACCTGTGACTGAAAGGGTTGTGAAATATTCTGAAATGATCAAATATGACATGGACAGGTAACATTAATGGCGCTTGGTTTTATATATATATTTTAGGTTGATTGGCCTCTGAACATTGTCATTACCGAGAGCTGCATGAATAAATACAACAAGATCTTCTCCTTTTTGCTGCAGTTGAAGCACATGGTGTGGACTCTCAAGGATATTTGGTTCCACTTAAAACGTACTGGTAAGATAAATTAGAAAAGGTACTGCATAAAAATGTGTTTAGCTCCATGTGCCAGACAATAGATTGTAAACATACCATTTAAAACAGGTACTTTGGTCCTTAAAAGTCAAAATTTATTCAAGGAAACTTGTTTGGAATTTGAGACAGGTTTCTGCTAATAGTTTTGTCAAACCATGATTTTTATGGGAACAGTCTCTACAGCGTCAACAATAATATCTTTCTGTTTTTATTTTCAGCATTAGTGAGTCGTGCATCAAATTCTGTTCAATTTCGACAGCTTCAGCTGTATAAACATGAAATGCAGCACTTTGTTAAAGTTATTCAAGGTTACATTGCTAACCAAATATTGCATGTAACATGGTGTGAATTTGGAAATAAACTGTCTTCTGTAGGAAACCTGGAAGAAATTCACAGAACACATGCAGAATACCTCAACAAAGCAATTTTCAGGTAAGCAAAGCAGAGAAACACTTGAAGTCAACTGAGCTGTTTCAGCTTACTCCAGCAGTGGATTTTGCCCACTCTTTTGTGTAAATATGGTATATGGCGCACGCACAGTCTGTGTGTGTGTATGTATGTGTACATGTGCATGCGTATGTATACACACAAAATGATTTCAACAAACATACACAGTAGTAATTATACCAAAAAAAAATTGTAAAAACTTTGCATAGGTACAACAGAAGCATCCAGAATATTAGTGCTGTGATGAAAAGGAAGTTCATGATTTGTAGTTAATACCTACTACTTAGGGAAATGAGTGTTGTCTGTCTGAATAAGTAGTATGTAGAAATAATCCAAATTCAAGGATTGCACACGGGCTGTCTCTATACATTTGTTTATACTTTTAATACTTACGCAGAGCTAATTTCAGGCTGCAGGATCATACCTTGGCAGAGCAGTTGTCATCTGATGTACCCAAATATTGTCTCTTAAGAAAGACCACCACCAGGGTTCATGAATAGTGGAAGTAGTACTACTTGCTTTATGAATCAAAGGCTGCTAACACTTTAAGTCTCATACATTACAGTTGTTACTAACACCAAATTGTAGAGGCCCTGAGATGTTGTGATAGAGAGCAAAGAGGAGAGTAATAGGATAAGGAGAATGGAGTTGAGAGGTAAGTAGATATGGGAGTGGTGGGATAAGAAAGGAAGGAATAGAGAGAAAAAGAAGAGGTCAGAAATGACAAAGGAGGAAGATGGCAAACAGGAGGAGTAGATACAAGAAAAGGCAAAAAGAGTGTGTCCCACTAGAAGTGGCATCTCTTGTTAGTTACAGACAAGAACAGGTGCATCCAGAAAGACCAGTTCAGGCATTGGGAAGTGGCAGAAATGATGACAGATTTTTAATTACCTGGGCAAAGTTAAGAAGAACCAGAACATGATACTTAAAATTTGATCCCACCACCATAAAAGTAAAGGGCAAGTGTCTGGATTGAGCTCTTCATATGTAAATGTCAGCAACCTTGAAGAGTAGGTAAATCATACTGGACTCAAGAGTTACATAAATTCACTCCTGTAGGGTTCCATGTTTTGTTTTGAAATGATTAGAGAAGGAACCCAAAGGATTCTCTCTGCCTTCTAACCACTCAAATAAACAATGTCTCTTTAGTTTTTTAAAGTCTATTTTTCTTTTGCTAGAGGACTATTGACTGAGAAGGCCACCCCTGTGATGAACATTATTCACAGCATCTTCAGTCTCATTTTGAAGTTCCGCAGCCAATTAATCTCTCAGTCATGGAACTTTGATGCTGGCGAGCAAATGGCTGTTCATCCCAACTTTGGTTTGATGCAACAATCTTATAATACTTTCAAATATTACTCTCACTTCTTATTCAAAGGTAGGAACTGGTATACATTATTGGGCTAATTTATATTGCCTCAGTCAACTGACACCTGAAAAACCCATCAGTTCTTGCAGTTGTCTCTGATAGTACAGCCTAAAATCAGGAGAAATATTGAACTCATTTTGCTTAGTGCATTACTTCTGGGAAAGCTAATCTCTCCATGTCCACTAACATAAAGCATCAGAAGTCTGAATTTCTTGGCATGTGTCCCAGAGCTGACAATAAGTATCACATTGGTGGTTTACGGGGAGTAAATCCATGGTAAATAATTGCTTCTTAGGCTGATATATCTTATATTTACCATTTATCTGCAATATAGTCTTTGAAACCGTATGACAGACAAAAGTATCTAAAATGGCAACACACAAAAAGTTCTTTGAACTGTATTTTACATCTTCCTACAAGTCAAATACTACATCTTACTGTGAGATTGAATTTCCTGGCTCCTGCAAGGGGTTAAGAGACTAAGGTCCACAGTCTGCTCACCTACTGCAAGATGTAGTTAAATCTAGTGCTACAGGCAAGAACTTTGCCACTGTGCAGATTTCTTGCCATGTAGTTCATGTTCTTTTTCACAATAGAATTCCTCGCGGCTGTCACCTCAGCTTGCAGGGTGTGTAAGTTAGAGAGACCCTATCTAATCTTCTACATTTCCCAAATAATACTGGTCTTACAGACCCTTCCCGTATTTCTACCAAAAAAAAAAATTCACCTTTCCATGTGAATACAGGCAGCTCCTCACTTTCCTTTGTTAGCAGACCCAATATCCAAAGGAAGTGCCACTTTTTTCTTTAAATATCAGTCTCTCACAAAGGTTGTGATCCAAAGCCTACTGAAGCCAGTGGAGAGTCTCCTGTTGATTTGAGTGGGCTTTGGATACTCTAATCCTGTATATTCTACACCTTTCTTTCTTACTTGCATGCTGTTACTGCTCGCTAATCCCCTTGGTGTATGAGATGTTTATGAAGCCAGGGCAATTTTTCTTTCTTTGATTTAAGGCCATATATTGGAAAGATCTCTTCTTTATTGTGAATGATGGTTAGCATTAGTAAGTTTATTATTCAATTTATAGTTAAGATTTGCAATCATCCCAGGTGTTTGTCTCATGGTCCCTTCAGTAACAGTGGTCTTGGCATAAGAAAACTAGCAGAGCTGCTTTCTTTTACAGAGGTCAGGCAACTCGGTAATGCCTGCCCATTGGTTAATATGATGTTATGGGAACCTAAAATTGTCCTTTTATAATAGTTTGGATAAAGTGTACTTGTAATTAGAAGAATAAAATTCCATTTATATGCACACTGTCTAGGATTGACACTTCTATTCCTTGCCTTGCATCTGATTTGTTGTACAGACAATGAATGAGAGTACTTTGTAATTCCACAAATAGAGGAAGGGGCTCTTTTATACAATATTAACAGATTTGTTTCCATCTACATCAGACATCTCCAATAGGCTTTTTCCATGATAGTATTTGTACATTTAATTAACAGATAGACTTGTTAGAGGTTTAAATTAAGATTTGTGTATTTGCTTTTCCTACAGTGGTAACCAAACTTGTAAATAGGGGATACCAACCTCACCTGGAGGACTTCCTGCTGCGAATCAACTTTAACAACTACTACAAAGATAATTGAGCTCTAGTATAGTGTAAGGAATACTGGTAGCATGGTAAAGAAAATACAGCTACAGCTTTATGCTTACTATTTATGGAAATTGATGCTAATAACAGAGGCTTATCTTAAGAAATAATCCATTGTTCAAAATAACTTTGAAGAGGTTCCACACAGCACTTAGAATATGATGCCATTTAGAATCCATACAAATCACCGCTTCATCAGTACATTGAGAATTGATCCCGTAATTACAGATATAGGGAAGAATGGAGCCTTTTGTTATCATGGAAAGGGCATACATGTAAATCGGTTAATGTATAGTATGCATTTTTCCTTTCAGTGTTGTGAATAGATGTTCAATGTAAATATATGTTTGTGAAATAAATAAACAAAAAGATATGTTTTAAAACTTCTTGGTGTTCAGTATGCTCAAATTTGGTCCATTTAGTTTATTTAAAAACTGACGCACATTCTCAGTCTAAATCACATTTACATTTACTGTTCTGTAATTATTTCTACAAGGCTGCTAGTCACAAGGAATGAATAATATGGCTGAAATATGACATTTTGAGTACATCTTCTCAGCTGCTGGAAAGTGAGACTGGATTTGGAATATTTGTGAGAAACAGGAGGTCATTGGATCACATAACACAAAGCAGTTATTTAAAAAAGCAAACAGTTTGGTTGAAGATGTGCATAAAATGAGATTGGTATGAAAAATGGCAAACAAGAAAGTTTAGTATCCCTAACACAAATCAAAGCTCTAACTATGAATAACCTCAAATCAATGATTTTTTTTAACCAGTAGAACTAGAAATCCCATATACTTATAAACCATTAAGTTGCAAAGATAAATCATATATTCATATATAGTAGAGCTGGTAGAAACTCAGAATTTCCAAAATGGATTTTGTTCTGATTCACCTGGTGGGGCTATCCCAAAGCCACAGACCCTGGAAACGCAGGGTTCTTAGCACTGGGGCAGTGTGCATAGTGGGGCAGTTTTGAAAATTTGAGCCAAATGTGTTTATCCTTTTAGAGTTTTTTTTGGAGTTAGTTTTTTCCCCCCTCCTATTCCTCCTCCTCCCCCCCGTACATTACTGAATTTTGAAGGTTCACAGTCCGCAAGGAATTACTGTTCAGGGAAGTGTAATGCCTATACTAGGTTTGAAATATTTTGGTTTTGAGTTACAATTTTTTACAATGTCACTTTGTGCATGCACAGTAGAAAGACCCTAATAAAGCCTACAGGTGGGTGCTTAGCTGAACATGTGTGTTCACTATATATATGTGTGCTCTTCACACGTGTCTATGCATCTGTGTACATGCTCAGTTACTCACAATTAAGAGATACCAGAGGTGTTTGTTAGCTGGTGAAATGGTGACCTTTTCTTTCCGTGTTTCTAAAAGATACCTGAGGACTTTAATGCAAAAACTTAATATTTCATTGTCACTAGGTTGTGAAATCAAACATTTCGGTCAGAAAATCCCAAGTATAAAGTTGGCTGCCAACTTTAATCCCAAGTATAAAGTTGGGAGCTGAGGCTGTTCAGTTCCTTGTAGGGGCAATCCCATATTTAATATTAAAGGATTGCAGTGTTCAAATAAGGCAATGTGTATCTCAGACTGTTTCATACCTGTGTCTGTATATACATACTTAGTGTCTTTCTTTGTCCTCAGTGGGAGGGGGAATTCACACCTGTAGAGTTATTATATAGGTTTACTCTCCCAAAATTTAGCCAGTTAATAATAAATAATGGCAACAAAACAGCAAATTTCTGATTTTTGTCTGTTTTTGTGTTAGCCTCCACTAGAGGTCAGCCAAACAACTTTGAAAGAGAATAGTGGACCAATAGAAAGAGTTGCCTGAACCACACAAATCTTTTTCTATAATAAAATTTCAGAAGCACAGTGTTAATTTTCCTATGGGTTCAGTCCACTTATCTCTGAGTCAATGGAAAGATTCCCACTGATTTCAGTGGGAGTTAGATTAAGTGCTATGTTATGAAGGGAAGATAGATAGTAATGATAGGAGAAAATTAGACATGGAAGGCACCTATAGCTTACCTAGTTCTTCTCCCAAGAGACTCTTTGCTAGTAGTTGATCTAGTTAGTTTTTAAATTTCTTGAGCACTTTTTGAGAATGATTATTCCACAGTTTAATATACTATTCAATGGCAAAAACTACATCAAAGCAGAGTTGAGGTTGCTTGGTGATAGAATCATAGAATATCAGGGTTGGAAGGGACCTCAGGAGGTCATCTAATCCAACCGCCTGCTCAAAGCGAGACCAATCTCCAACTAAATCATCCCAGCCAGGGCTTTGTCAAGCCTCACCTTAAAAATTTCTAAGGAAGGAGATTCCACCACCTCCCTAGGTAACGCATTCCAGTGTTTCACCACCCTCCTAGTGAAAAAGTTTTTCCTAATATCCAACTTAAACCTCCCCCACTGCAGTTTGAGACCATTACTCCTCATTCTGTCATCCGCTACCACTGAGAACAGTCTAGATCCATCCTTTTTGGAACCCCCTTTCAGGTAGTTGAAAGCAGCTATCAAATCCCCCCTCATTCTTCTCTTCCGCAGACTAAACAATCCCAGTTCCCTCAGCCTCTCCTCATAAGTCATGTGTTCCAGCCCCCAAATCATTTTTGTTGCCCTCCGCTGGACTCTTTCCAATTTTTCCACATCCTTCTTGTAGTGTGGGGCCCAAAACTGGACACAGTACTCCAAAATTGGACACAGAGATGAGGCCTCACCAATGTCAGATAGAGGGGAACGATCACATCCCTCGATCTGCTGGCAATGCCCCTATTTATACATCCCAAAATGCCATTGGCCTTCTTGGCAACAAGGGCACACTGTTGACTCATAGCCAGCTTCTAGGTCCTTTTCTGCAGAACTGCTGCCAAGCCATTCGGTCCCTAGTCTGTAGCGGTGCATGGGATTCTTCCGTTCTAAGTGCAGGACTCCGCACTTGTCCTTGTTGAACCTCATCAGATTTCTTTTGGCTCAATCCTCTAATTTGTCTAGGGCCCTCTGTATCCTATCCCTACCCTCCAGCGTATCTACCTCTCCTCCCAGTTTAGTGTTATCTGCAAACTTGCTGAGGGTGCAATCCACACCATCCTCCAGATCATTTATGAAGATATTGAACAAAACCGGCCCGAGGACCAACCCTTGGGGCACTCCACTTGATACCGGCTGCCAACTAGACATGGAGCCATTGATCACTACCCGTTGAGCCCGGCAATCTAGCCAGCTTTCTATCCACCTTATAGTCCATTCATCCAGCCCATACTTCTTTAACTTACTGGCAAGAATACTCTGGGAGACCATGTCAAAAGCTTTGCTAAAGTCAAGGAACAACATGTCCACTGCTTTCCCCTCATCCACAGAGCCAGTTATCTCATCATAGAAGGCAATTAGATTAGTCAGGCATGACGTGCCCTTGGTGAATCTATGCTGACTGTTCCCGATCACTTCCTCTCCTCTAAGATACTGAGCTGATACAGAACACTGACCTGAGCAACACAAGGAAATGCACAGTAAAGGTTGTCCACGCAACATTAACTCCACCCTGCTTCAGCATAGCCCCAGTTTGCCCTGTTAATATACATACCTTTACTCTGCCAACCGCAGAGCTGCTGAAATGTACAAGCTGTTTATTTCATTTTAAAACCCATTCACTCTCACCCATAGCATTCCATCTAACACTAGTAAACACTATTAAAGGACAAAAAAGAAAAAAAAGTTTCCCACTAATCAATTGCTAATACGTGGCAGCAAAGTCCGTGCAGTTGCCCTGACCATAGCACAAAATTGTCCATTTTTTTAACGGTCATTATGTCCTGAATTATGCATAATGTCGCCATGACAAAATGTATCCATAACTATTTTACAATGGAATAGTGTTGGGTGCGCTGGCAGTGCATGCCTCTCTCACCTAAGCTCCCACTCTCATCTCCCCTACCATACATCCCCATTTATTCCGTCCCCATAACCCCCCTTTCCTCACTGCAGCCCCAAGCCCCTGACTTCCTATTCCCCCACTCCTCTGCCTGCTAATAGCCCCTCCCCGGAAGCATTCACATGTCTAATTATTTTCCCCCGAAGACTTTGATTATATTCCCCCAAAATAAAATTGTCACCTGTAACTCCCAGCCAATGAGTTCAAAACTCCTTTTGCCTTAAACAGAAGCTCCCAGCTAATTTAGCCTTAGTTTTATGTTAGCTGAAGGGGGAATTCAGTCAATTAGAAGTCTGTGATTCATCTAAAGAGACAAGATGGGTGAAGGTAATACCTTTTATTGGACCAACTTCTGTTGATAATAGGAGACAAGCTTTCGAGTTTACACAGAGCTGCTCTTCAGGTCTGGGAAATTCAGGCTTGGTCTACACTGGAGAGTTAGGGTGACTTAAGGCAGCTTATGTCAGCCTAACTATGTCAGTGTCTACACTATGGCCGTGCTGCTGCTATATAAGAGCCCTAATACACTAATATAATAATTTCATCTCCACAAGAGGTGTAGGCTTATGTTGGTGTAGTTAGGGCAAAGCAGTGTCTGTGTAGATGCTTCATTCCTTACATTGGCTGTTGGCTATCATTCTTGTCAATTTCAGTCATGAAATTGACAAGAAAGCCAGCTCCTGGCTCCCCAGCCAGGCTGCTGCCTGTCTCTGCTCCAAGCTGGGCTGCCACCTGGTCTCCCCACTCCCCAGAAGGAGCCCTGCTTCCCCTCTGGGTGAGGATTTACCTGCTGGGAGTGAGAAGCCCTGGGTGGCCGCCTCCCACCGAGGAGTGCCCCGGGATATGCCAGGGAAGGATGGCAGAAGAGATGGGGTGAGCCATGAAAGAACCCTCCTTCTCCCCGCTTTCCCCAGCAGCCTGGCTGAACCTGTAGAAGGATCATTAACGGGGTTGCGACCGGGGGGCAGCTGGGCTCCTGGCGGGGAGTTGCACAAAGCTAAGAGACCTCACTCTCAGCCCCCAACACTGCCCCTCCTCAGTTGGTGGAAGCGCTCCTGGTGAGGATGCACACTACTAACAGAAGGAGAGTAGTGTGGACATCATCCACTGCAGTGGTGCACTGGCTGTAAATTGACCTAACATAGGGCGACTTAAGATTGTAGTGTAGACATGCCCTAAAAAATGTACATTTTCTTAAATACTATTCTCAGTTTGGGTCCACCAAGGATTTAGTGGGTACTATGCACTGCCTTATTTAAAACTTGATAGATGGAGACCATTTTGACTTGCACCACATCAATAGTTTGATCTCTAGCTCTGAGCAAAACAAAAACAAAACTCAACCTAGAAACTTTTTTTAAAAATGGCTATTTGGGTGGTTGTTTTTTTATCTTTGGAACCCCTGGCTCAAATACCTCCAAATTTGGCTCAATAACCCTCCT